GCAAAAAGCAAAAATTCGCTTTGATAGTAGAGTGTCACCCAATTTACAATCATATAAAATTGGCGATAAAGTATTTGTGAAACAGTCTCAAATTTCAAACAAACTTCAGAACAAATCTGATGGTCCATTCGAAATTACTCAAGTTTTTGAAAATTCTGCGCTCCTTAAGAACCCGGAAACAAATAGAATAAGTAAAGTTAATTTTGACAGACTGAAACTATGTTTTGAGACTTAGTTTCTCTTTCAGGTGCAGTCTGCTGTTTCTTGCGGCTGTCACAGCCCATATAGACATCAAACCGCTTAACAACACCTTAGGTATCTATTTTCATGAAGACGCCCCTCTTAAGATTTCCAACGACATTTGGACACTCCTTGTATATAAAGACTTAGAACTCATTAAGAAAGCACTTGACGATAACAACAATATTCTGGAACACTTATCATATCTCGTAGACAAACCCACCAATCGTATGAAAATGTTTAGTGGTGAAATTAAAACTCATACAAGTCTCCTTTATCAAATTTCTCGTTCCTTGGAATCTAAATATTACGCAATCTTCGATGACACTGTAAGCGCATCGCGGATGAAACGCGGTCTGATTAACGCTATAGGTACTGTATGGAAAGCAATAACCGGCAACCTCGATTCATCGGACGGTGAATACTATAACGATTGTATTAACAAAATTTCTAAAGATGAACATGAGCTCGAAAACCTCATGAAGAACCAAATTTCTGTTACCATGTCGGTTATCAAGAATTTTAATAGCACTATTCAAAAACTTATGATTGATGAAACTACGTTTAATGAAGATATTAAGGTCATTGAAAACAAAATTTATGAAATTTCAGACGATCTTGCATTTTATGAAGCTAAATTCCAATTTTTAGAAGTTTGCGAACAATTAATGGAAAGCTACATGTTTCTGGAAGAGACAATTAATGATATTCTAAATTCAATTACTTTTGCACGTTTAAAAATAATACATCCTTCTATTATCACTCCTCAAGACTTAGTAAATTCTCTTCAAGAAATTTCTCACACTTTGTCGAGAAATAATTTACCCCTTCCGGTTAATTTAGCAACAGTGTCAGAGTACCTTAATCTTATGGAACTCGAAGCATATCAAACTAAAACAAGAGTAGTATTCGTTCTACGCATCCCGTTATTAGAGCCCGAAATGTATACTTTATACAGAGTGATTCCTCTACCCATTCTCGATAAACGTACTGGTTTGTTTCATGTAGTCTCCACTATACAGAGATACATTGCCAAAGATAGCGATTCTCTTTTGTATGTTTCCTTTCAAAATTTAGGTAGTTGTAAAGTTCTTCAGTCTCAGGTGAAAATCTGTTTCAACCTCTTGCCGTATCCAATAGACAGTAATGCAGTCTGCGAAGCACAGTTGTTGCGAAATCCGGTCGATCTGCCGACAGCCTGCCAAATAGCAATTGTGGCATTGCAAGATTACCAAATCCAAGAACTTGCAACCAATTTTTGGCTAATCACCATATCTAGCCCTCTGCCAATTACGATGAAGTGTGGACAACGAGAGACTACCACCAAAGTGATAAAAGTTAATTCACTTTTAAAAATGCAACCCGAATGCAGTGGCTTTGTAGGCACCACGAGATTACATTCTAGATATTCTGTTAGCACCTACAAGAATATCACATACAAAAGTCACCCTGTAGAAGTACCCTACAAATGCTGTGAACATCTCCCAGAGAAACAAAATTTACCAAAATTAAAACCGATCAAGCTAAGCAAGATCGATACTGAAGAACTCGAAATTGCCAATCACAAATTAAACCAATATTCTGAATAACTGGACAAAATTATGAACGAGCCGTTTGTTTCAAGACATCTCTCATGGTTCACGTATTTCATCATCACCCTGTTAGTTATCATCGTAGCTTTGTACCTGTTCTGCAAGTGCAGAAAACGTAGACCACTCAGCATCTGCGCATCAAATTATCCAGCCGATGGTCCATCTCCAGGAGCACCAAAAGTCCGGTACATTCCCAGACTTTTTCCTCGACGTAGACCAACCATCCAGCCACATGAAGAAGACATCGAACTGCAGTGAGTGTTCCGTGAAGTGTTTTCACTGTTCAAAAAGACATTTCCAATTTTTGTGTTATCTACCATGTGATTTTGCCCGTACGACTGTACGATTGTATCTTATTATTTGTTTGTTCCAGCTTTGCTTTTAGATGTTATTTAGCATCGCCAATGTACCGCATTTATGCTAACAATTTTATTTTTCAGAATCTATATTTTCTGATGTTATTTTGCAATTTTATTACTCCTACTTTTATATTTTTATATTTTACAATGTTTACAATTTACATTTCTACATTTTTACATTTTTGAATTTTTACATCTTTTACACTTTTCTAATTTTATCAAAAGTTGTCGCATGGCAACAACTTTTTGTAATAGGGGGAAGTTGTTATATGCACTCAAAACAATGGACTTACTATTCCATACAATGTTGCACCAGACGCTAGCTCAGCAACAGATAACGACTTCTCGCTAACACGTTGTTTACGCTTTATTTTCTAGAAGTGTTTTGTAAACACACCAATAGTATAAATAGGCCTTGCGCCCATTTCATGTCGTTCATTACCCGGCTAGGCACCGTAACAGTCACTTATGTAAACTTTATGTTCAATACCCGGTTAGACTCCGTAAATGTCACATTTGTAAACCTTTGTATGGACTGAAGCTTCAGTCCTCAAATAAAATTTTTTAAAAAGTTATTTCTAAATCTAATGATTTAAGATATATATATATATATATATATATATATATATATTAATGTATCATCAAATCAAATAGTTGAATTTTGCAGTGTTGTAAAATATCAGGAATATCGTTAATATATAAAATAAATGTAGTAGTAAGTAATGGACCTAATTTGCTAACCTGTGGCACACCTACCGAAATGTTTTTGATGTTTGATAATGTATTGCCAATTTCAGTTCTTTGAGTTCTATTGATTAAATAATTTTGTAATAAGTTGAATACAGAACCTTGAAATCCATAGCAATGCAATTTCGTTAACAATTTCTCCCTGTCAATAGTCTCAAATGCTCCCTTGAAATCTAAGAACAATGTTACTGTAAACTTTTCTTCATCCATATTTCGCCTCCATTCTTCTACTACCATTTGAATTGCTGTTTCAGTAGAATATTTTTTTCTGAATCCTGCTTGAAATTTTGTCAATATCTTATTTTCTTCAATATATTCAATGACTTGTTCATATATGATTCCTTCTAGTAGCTTCTCGACATCTGGCCGTACATTAATTGACTGCATGTTTGTATATAACTCAGAATTTAGCACTTTTGGAACAGGAGTAACTGTAGAACATTTTAATTTTGAAGGAAATTCGCCATACATTAAACAGTGATTCACTTCCAATAATTTTGAAACATTTCTTCATAACCATTTTTGATGTTCACTAGGATTTCTATTCGATTTCAATCTTGTAATAGCTTTTGAAAGATGGCTGATATTTATTCGTTCTGCAATCAATATTTTTTGTTACATCTTCGAAGTACATTAGTGATAATTCATTCTTCCTACTGGGAGATACAATATTTTTTAGTGTCTTCCACATCATTTTACTGTTATTATTATTGCTATCGATTTTGTTTTCATAATATTTTTTCTTTTCGTTCCTAAGATTTGTTAAACACTTGTTTCTTGATTTCTTATATTGTATCCAATCTTCCTCAGTTTGAGTGATCATAAACTTATAGTCATTATCACGCGTCAATTTAGAGTCTAGAAATATTTGTCAAAACCAGAGTGTTGGCTTTTTCCTTTGATGTACCACTTTCCTAATTTGTGCGTCTCTCATGCGGTTCTCCATACAATCCATAATTTTTGAGAAGTCATTAAAAATTTCAGTGATATTGGCTTGTAAGAGTGACTCTCGTAACGCTTCAAAATCAATAATTGTGATTGCTCTTGATTCTCTCTCATTAAACATATCTGCCACCTCGAAACATATCCACGAATGGTCGCTTATTTTTGGAGTATGTAAAACTTTAATACTCAAATTCTGTTCATTGGTTATTATTAAATCGATCTTAGTTTGTGAAAGGTTTGTAATCCTTGTGTAGTCATTAACTTTTTGCCATAGACCATGAAAGTTCAGTACCCGTTTAAATTTATATTGAAGTCTCCCAAGTGCACAGTGGAGCAATTTCGATGATATTGTTTTTCACAAACACTCTCAAAAAAGTCCAAAAATCGGTTAATATTACAGCTTGGAGATCTGTAGTAAATGTGTACATTGTAATTTTGTTTGATCTTGATTTCAAAATGAATATACCACCATTGATAATCAACAACTACAGTATTGTGTGTTTTTACTTCAATCATACTCAGTTTGTATATTAGTATCAATCTCCATATCTTCAATATCTTCTGTAATATGTGTATCAGTCAAGCAAAGAACTAATGGTTTCACTAATATTAAAAAATGTATAACTTCATTCCTGTGCGATAAAAATCCTTGAATATTTATATGGTATACATTGTTAGAATATTTTTTATCCTATAATTGCTATTTGTCACCATAAGAAACTTTATTTTTTGATTTTTCATATTCGATTTGGACCATGTTGCAGGATGAGTGACATATCGAAATTTGTGTTGTACTTCAAATTTGATTCTCTGCAATTTGGACATGTAATTTCATCTTTTGATATCGTACAGTTCTGAGCCTGATGATCACTATTACCGAGATTTGAATTTGGGTAAAATTTTCCATGTTGCAAAACAACTGTCTACCAGTCTAGATACACACTACAAAGTCACGGCGGTGTATATATATCTACACATTAACGCCAGTGTACCTGCCGAAAAAATCGATAAACCCTAGGTAAAACTAAAAAAGTTATATGCCGTTCCGAATTTGTCCAAAATTTTCCTTGTTGCACTTACTTTCAACCTGAGTGTATTTGTATTGCGTGCGTTCTAGATTTCTGCTTGACAATTCCGCCGATCCCTGTTCGAAGAACAAGGCACAGCAAACAGCCTATACTTGCACCCAAAGCAAGGAGATCAGGGAATCGTTGAAGCAGTTCGCCAAGGAGAATCCAGAGAAGTTCAACTATAACAAGGCGCAAATACCTGTGAACGCGTTGACAGAAGAGGAATTAGCGGAAAAGAGAAAAGCGCAAAGGAAAGTTAAGAAGGAGAAAGAGAAGGAGAAAAGGAAAGAGAATGAGGTTAAGAGGAAGGAAGAGGAGGAGAGACAGCGATTTCTTAATCTTAGCGATAGGGACAAGGTAACAACAGCTCCAACAAATTGCTATTACTTTGTAGATATTTGTTCACCCTTCGTAGCGTGTATTGGCAGTCGGAAAACTCTGTGTTATTTATGCAGAATCTTTCTACTACTACTATACAACTACCATCGAGCCGAATATCATCTGAGATTGGTTTCTGAATGATTTATATACAGGGTGTAAAGTTAGTAGTGGATCATCGGAAGTCCGCTGACAGGGGGCCTCAAAACATATCGAATGAACCTCTATATGCGAGGTCTGAAATTTGATAGTTCAGGAGATATTTGCAATTTTGTGAAATTTCGAAAATAATGGGATGTATCGGGAGTATGTGGTTAGAAGAGGTGGATCACAACCGGCGGTATATCCCGACTACCGCATTTTTCTACATAATAATAATAATGCATATATGGAGGGCCACATACTAGGCACTCATCCTCAGCTAGGAGCGCCGAGGATACGCCCAGAACATATAATAGAAGCAGCCGAAAGGGATCCCTCTATAAGCACCAGAGCCATTGCCCGAAGCAGAAACATATCCCATACTTCAGTGCACACAATACTACGCTCGGAGAACATGCATCCTTACCATGTACAAAAAGTACAAGAATTGCTTCGCACGCGAACACAACAACACCGATAAGGTCGACCTGCAGCCGTCCGTCGGCTGTTTTGTATCACTTCCGGTCGGGTTCCCGCGTAGAACATCTACTATCCATACATCTGAATACGTATACAAGTGTCAACCAACTGCGCCAGAAAATTGATGAAGCAAAGATAAAAATTATGGAAAACGCAAATACACTTCAAAGACTAAATGACAATTTTATTAGAAGGTGTCGCTTGTGTATAGAAAATAATGGAGCCCATTTCGAACATGCTCTTTAAAAGTTTTTTAGATTAAATTATCTTTCACATTTGTCGGTAAATCGCCATAAAGAGCGGCTAAACACAATAAGTTCTGCACTTGTACGTAATAAGGATTCTATTACGTTTCTTACGTTTATCGCATGACAACAACGAATGAATAATGAAATACAACTTCAATTTTTTTTAGCGCCCTCCAAAGTTGAGGGATGGAAGGGATTTTTCACAAAACAATAAATTTAAGATTTTTTACGTCGATTTCTAATAAGCTCTGTTAAAAAGTGACATAACCATTGCTAAAACGAACCATTGAGCTCATCTCAGAAAAAAATCATAGCCCTAAATCTAATGGTTTGGTTGTAATTGCGATTGAAAGTTCAATATCCCGTTTTTTCCGAAATTTCACAAAATTGCAAATATAGGGTGCGCCATCTATTACTTTGGTTCACCTATAAGTTTATGTGTTACCATGTGAGTCAAAAGTCATGTGGTATGGATAAATGAACTGTCAAAGGTATGCCATTCATAGTCATGGATTCGTTTACAACACAACAACGCATTTTGGTTATCCAAACTTATTATTAATTTTCTGTAACTTCTTTTAAAAGCTGACACAGACATAGACTTAAGGTTTGTGGGGACGTGATTATATAAGAGGTAGATAAAATGAGAAAAACATCTGTTAAACATAGATGTACGACGACGTGGTTGGGAAATCAGCTTCTGATACCGAACATTGATATTGTGAACATCACTTCGAAATGTAATCTTATTATATAAATAAGGCGTAGTCTTATATAGAATAATTTTATTAACCAAAACTGCAGAATGCAGATTTCTCCTAGCTTCCATATTTATCCATCCTATTACAGGTAACTTATAAGAAATATGTTCAAATTGTTTCACTCCAAAAATAAACCTAAGACAAGGGTTTTCTACACGCTGTATACGATCAATATCATACCTTGTTATACAAGGCCCATAAACTGAGTCGCAGTAATTGAATAATGACAGAACAAGGGTGTCACAAAGCAAAGTCTTAAGTTCGGTAGAAAAGAAAAAAGTAATGGACCCAAGATAGAGCCTTGAGGTACCCCACACAGAACAGGCTTGGAAAGAGACACCCCGGAAGAGGTTATGACAAACTGCGTCCTCTTCGAAAAATAACTTTTGAATAGTTTAATAGCATTAACGGAACATCCTATGTATTTTAAAATAGAAAACATTAACTGGTGATTAATTGTATCAAACGTCTTTGTGTAATCAAGCAATACAAGAGCCGCTGTATTGCCGTTATCAATATCCCTGATAATTTCGTCCGTAACATCTAGAAGCGCTGTCGTGCAACTAAAACCCTTTCGAAACCCTGACTGAAATGAAGGCAACAAATCATATTCATCTATATGAAGCATTAACTTAAATTTTATAATTTTTTCCAGAACTTTAGACAGCATTGATTTCAAAAATGAGTAGGAAAAAAGTGGCGACTATGGATAAAAATAGCTTAAAGATCAACGTTTCCAATGGTGTATTCTTTTTTTTTAAATAAAAAAAATTCCTGTGCGTGAAAAAATGTGGGAACTCTATTTTTTAAACAACCCTCGTAACGTCGAAAACCATGTCTCATTTTCGAATTATTTCACGAATACTTTGAAATGAATCATTTTTATTTACAGAGAGCATTGGCCGCAGAGAAAAGGATAAGAGACCTGTCAGGAAAAGTCATTACTCGATGTTTCAACTGTGCAGCAGACATAACTGGAAAGGTGCCGTTTGAATATATGGGAAACGTCTTTTGTACTATAGACTGTTTGAAGGCGCATAGATTAAAAGGACCTATTTTATTATCCTAGATCCTAGGTGACCTAAGCTCAGAGGCCATTCATTAAGAATAATTATTTCCAAACAAACTTGTGAGGACTGAGCGTCCTTCAGCTGAAGAGGGTATCAACGAAATCGGTCAGACAACTTTGATTTTTTATTTTTATTGTACACACTTGGTTATAGTTCGTATATTCGTAGATTTATTTTAATATTGAAGTCTGTTGTACTGTATCAAATTATTTTTATTTCAGTTGTAATAATATATATCTTGAAAAGGCATCTTGTTTCTTATTTGTATTCAAATCTCCTGTGCGCAATGTCACATGATTTTCCCCATACCGTAATGTTGTAAGATATGTATATGGCTGTAGTCCAGTGCATAATATACAGGGTGTTAATTTGAAAACTTCCTACCACGGTTTCATTGAAAATCACTGATTAAAAGAAAAAACGCCAAGACACTTCAAAAGATTTGTCAAGGGGAACGACTTTTTAACCAAAAACTACTTCAACCCCTTTCACCCTCGGCCTCCAAGGGTCATCCCCTTAAAAATTTCAAATGACAAAGGGTATCGAGTAATCCCTTGTTTGAAAGTCCCTTCGATGTCATTTATTTTGGCGTTTGATTTTTTTAAATCAGTCGATTCGTTTTCGAGGAAATTAGAAAAATCTTTATTTGTTCAGATAGAAAACAAAAACACACGAAAATTTCCCTTTTTATTTCAAGAAGTGTTTAAAATGTTGCCCGTTAGGGTTTGTCAAATCTAGAATTCGTTTATATTTTAAAACGGAGCTACCAACATAAACAGCAATGCGGAAGATTAGACGTGGCAACAACCGAATAACAACCCGAATTTTTCCCGCATTCTTTTCATCACAGATAACCTGAACGAACGAACTCTATTGTTATACCTGTTTAGTTATTTGTTGCTAAGGGAAAGAAAGAATTTAATTTGCTGTCAGTTACTTGTGACAATCTTGGGATAGTGAAAATTAATTTATTGATTCAGATTTTACTTCCAAAATGGTTTACACACTATCCGAAAGAGTGGAAATGATTCTAAATTATGGTACCCAAAATCAATGTGCTCGACGTTTAACGCCAGACCTTGTTACTAAATTTAATCAAACTGGATCTGTTGCAAATAAAAAACGTGATCATCAGAGTTTTGGATGAAGCCGCTCAAGTTGGAGTTTTAGGTTATTTTGGAATAAATCCTAATATACTAAGTGACATATAAATCCGAACACCCAGTTTAAATGGTTTTAATAAAAGTTGGTGAATGTATTTATCTTACTGTAAATAACAAGTGAAAAAATTTTCAGCCTTATCAGTTGGACATTCCGGTTTTTATACTGCTTTTTTTAATTCACTAACGCTCTAAAAATGAATATTTCAGCCGCAGTAAAGAATCAACGTTGGCGGATTTTGGTTCTTGACATCCTTTACGATCGGTTACGATGCCTAGAGTACGGAGACCTGTACGATTTCATCAACTTAGTGAGTTTGATAGGGGCCGTATAGTGGGAAAGAGCAAGGGGCACTGGATGCCGCCGTAGAACAACAGACCGTGAAGATCGCCGCCTAAGATTATTGGCCTTAAGGGACCGTTTCTCCACTACCAGGTCCATTGCAAATGAATGGTTTGCAGAACACGGAAGACCTATTGGCATGCGAACTGTTTACCGACGAATGAGAAGTTTTGGCTTGTTTTCATACCGGCCACACTGGGTCCTCCCTTTAACTCGAGAACACCGACGTAATCGCCTTGAGTGGTGCAGACAACGGTCACTCTGGGATCAGGAATGGAACAGTATTGTCTTTAGTGACGAGTCTCGATTTTGTTTAGACATGCACGATGGTCGTGCCAGGGTTAGAAGGCGACGTGGTGAAAGGAGGAATCCACAGTTTTTTGTTGAAAGACATGTTCATCACACTGTTGGAGTTATGGTTTGGGGTGCTATAGCTTATGGTTCCAGGTCACCTTTAATCTTCATCAGAGGTAACATGAATGCGCAGCGTTATATCCACGAAGTTCTAGAACCCCATCTTTTACCCTATCTTGACACCCTGGCAGATCCAACTTTCCAACAAGATAATGCCCGACCACATGTTGCAGGAGTCACAATAGACTTCTTTCAACATAATGATGTCACATTGTTACCATGGCCACCAAGATCTCCCGACTTATCCCCAATTGAGCACGTGTGGGATATGATGGGTAGGAGAATGCTCAATTTGCAACGTCCTCCTCAGACTCTAGAAGCACTTCGAGAGGAGTTGGTGGTTGCCTGGAATGAGATACCACAGGATTACATCGACCACCTGATCAGAAGCATGCCTAGGCGCGTTGGAGAATGCGTAGCACATCAGGGTGCATCCACACATTATTAAAGGTCAAAGGGCTTTAAAGCAGTACAATCATTTTGAAATTTTTATCATTTACTTATTATGCTTCATTAAGTACTTATACAAAATTTTATTAAAAGAAAACTATTTAAACTGGGTGTTCGGATTTATATGTCACTTAGTATACTTCATTACCCTAAATTGTTGCTGCGACTGGTATTTCTTTAGGCTTAGGTTACTAAACTACATAAATTTCTTCTATTCAAAAGGAAAATATTGCAAGAGTTACCCGAAGATGATTTTGATAGCCGAGTTGAGTTTTGCGAATAATTGACTGCAGCGATTAATGAAAATCCTCATGCTTTTGTAGAAGGGCATACCCAGTACCCCAAAAAATTAATGTATAGGCAGGCATTTTAGGAAACAAAGTGATTGGACCATTGTTTATTAACGGAAATTTGAATGGAGATATTCATTTTTATATCAATTCCATCAATGCGCTTATTACTGAAACCATTGAAAACCAAATCGACGAGGATGGAAACTCTATACTTGATAAAGCTGAAATATATTTCCAACAAGACGGCGCTCCTCCTCACTATGTTCTTCCTGTTCGGCAATGGCTAAGCGACGAGTTTCCAGATAAATGGATAGGGCAAAGAGGCGCTACAGAATGGCCTGCTAGATCTCCTGATTTGACGCCATTAGACTTTTTTCAATGGGGCCTTTTAAATCTGTTGTGTTTACTCCTAAACCTCAAAGCTTGGATGAACATCGTCAACGCATCATCGAAAACTGCTATGATAATAAAAGCCTTCGAAAGACCTTTCAAACACGCTATTGCTCGTTACACCTTGTCATTTAAAATTTTTAAGGGAATGACCCTTGGAGCCGAGGGTGAAAGGGGTGAAGTAGTTTTTGTTTAAAAAGTTGTCCCCTTTGACAAATCTTTTAGCGTGTCTCAGCGTTTTTTTCTTTTAATCAGTGGTTTTCGATAAATCCGTGGTGGGAAGTTTCAAGTGAACACTCTGTATGTTCACTAGAGCTTTTTCGTTTAGAAAATTTCTTACCTGCAGTATAGTAAAATATGCGTTACATAAATTTTTACAAAAATGATCAATAAGTTACTGAAAATTAAGTCTGCTATCAAAATATGTGACGAGTGCAGTTACAAGAAGCAGATAAAGTGTCATAATACCGGGTGATTCTCCAAGGTGGATCACCCCTATAAGTTTTTTATTATTGAAGAACGAAATTTAGGGGTTGCGTATTAAAGATGAATTTACATTTTTGACATATTCCCTTGCTTTGACGTATTTCCGCACGGGTATCATGTAAAAAACCTACAAAACGTAAAAAAAACCAATAAGATTTCAACTTGCAGACTAGGTTGTTTTTAGGGCGCAAACAGTCATTCCACGTTTGCTCACTAGGATCGTTGTGAACGTCCATCTATGAAGGAATCACTCAACTATACGCATTATTGGTTGCATAGCTTTGTGATCCGGGTCTGCAGTTTTTATCTCTGAGAAGAAAGTTGGTTGAATAGCAAGAATCCAATGGAAGTATTATCAACACATAGAAGTTACAGCTTAGACCTCCAGTAATGCCATCTCTCAGCATATTTTACATAAAATCAGAGCCAAACATTGATAACTAAAGCCTCATGACGTTTAGGCAACACGTAAAACTAAGTGCTAAGTTAACATCTTGTAGAAAAACCTACATAATGTCAAAAAAAAACAGCATAATGTCAAAAAATATCGACATAATGTCACTTTTCAATATACGTGATACCCGTGCCGGTTTGATCGGAAACGAGTCCAATTTTTTTCGATGTTTAAATGGGACACCATATACATTTTTACTTATACCGATCGGTAAAACCGAACTTTATATTTTAAATAGGACAGTCAATGCTGCAGTATAGGGACAACATTTTAAACAATTGTTGGACCGTTTACACAAAATTTTGGTTAGGACTTTGTCTTCATCGATGGTAACGGCATGCCGCACACAGCCCGTACAGTTATAAACTTTTTAGCAGAAAATAATGTTACATTATTGTCTCTGCCATAAAAGTCTCCAGACCTAAACATAGAAGATCACATCGGTGCATGTCAGGTCTGGTGCCAGGCTGCAGGAGGCGGACCTGGAAGTCCTTCAGGACTTCTCTGGTCCGCTTATTGTAGCAGAGGACTTCAACTGGAAACACGGATCATGCCATTCTAGGTTGAATTCCTCCAGTGGGATTTAACCAACCATGTGATACTGAACGACTAGCTCATGCACAGAACTCAAGAGCTCACACACCACCCATTTAATCACCTTCATTGACTTTCCAATATCTAGAAATTGTAGATACAGCACCACTTCTCGAATCATGCATGACATTCCTGTGGTATTGGAAGTGGGTAATGAGCAAACCTTGAAATAGAGAACTGCTCCAAGGAAACAGGTCGATTGGGGCTATACAAGTTGCTTCTAAGAGGCTTCCCCGATATACCGATGGGAACGGTATAGATGCGGCTCAAGCGGAGCGGACAAGTTTCGTTCAGCAAGCTCTGCAGCGTGTAGCTGTATTTTCTGCGGACCTTTTCTCCCTGCAGACGTTTGTCATAAACTTCTGACAAAAAGGCTGCAATTAAACAAGCGAAAAGGTCTTGTCATCCCGATGACATTCGCAGAGCGACGAATCTTGTTCATGAAGTAAGAAATGGTCTTCATGAGTTCCGCAACGAGCAATGGAACGACTTTCTCGTGGGGATGCTTCAACGCTAAGTACTCCTTTCTGAAAAGTGGCGAAGAAACGGGAAGCGAGAACAACTCCGGCAAATTTATTATGGTTCTGGTCTTCAGGACAGAGGAAATGGCGGAGGTTTCCGCTGATGCTATGAAATTACAGTTCTTTCTCGAAACTATGATCTTGATAATCTCGATGAGAAGCAACACATCATAACATCCATCAGGAGATATTTTAGGGCCAACAGCGTCAGTGATCCCAGCGCCGCCGTTAGTGATTCTTCCTCGGAAAACTCTCATTCGGAAGATTCTTCAACTAAAGAGATGCATAGCACATCAGCGGCATCTACCGAGTTTCCGAATTGCACACCAGTAGCACTTCAAGGTCATATGAAAGATCTCAAGGTGCGTAATGCGCCCGGGGAGGATCAAATCACTAATAAGGCGCTGAATCTGCTCTTACAGAATTCCTTGACTTATCTCGTGGCTATTATAAATGCCATGCTAAGTGTTTTCCGTCGGCGTGGACATAGTTAAAGGTGGTTAGGCTCGTGGAGCGAGTAACCAGGGCTTGCTTCTGGATATCACGAACGCATTTGACCAGGTGTGGTTTAAGGCATTTCGCAGTTTTGGCTCCTAACTTTTGAAATCATTCTTTGAAGGTAAGAAAACTCAATTAATAATGCCTTTTAGACAGTATTGCCCATCAGAGCCGGTATTCCTCAGGGTTCCATTATCGGACCAATCCTCACTTTTCACGCATGACGTCCCTTGCCCTAGCGACTGTGAAGTCTATCTATATGCTGATAACACTGCACTGGTGGCCCAGTCGCATTCAGAGAATGTATAATATGTCATACATTAAAATTGTCAAACCTCAGTTGCGTATTTAAAAAAAAAGCAGAATGTCCTAAGCAGGACTTGAAATTATCAGATAGTAATTTGTTATACCAGGTTTATCATCTAATCATTTTTTTTTCAAGACTTTATTTGGGATGGGATTCCAAAATAGTTCGCATGTTGTTATTGCAACTTTTTCTAGTCAATTTTCAATTCCAGGCATCTTCTCTCGACTTCCATCATATGGGCGATATATTATAATTTTGTATTTTTTGAAATAGAGTTTCTATTTATTACATATATTTTTCTTTAAAGTATAGAAACATTATTTTATCTACTGTTATATTTATCATCTCCTAGCATATTAGAAAATACTTTTAAAATTTAATTTTTGACTATCTTAGGCAACACATATTACACCAATTAGCTCAATGTCGCTTGCAGTAGGCGTTTTGATTATGTTTTGTTTTCTTGTAAACCTAACCTTACATATTTGTGCGCTAGTGTTTTGAAGAGTGTTTTTGTGCGGCTTTGATTTCGCGCGTGTGATTTCGGACAGTTTACAGTTTCCCCTATCTCCGTTTGAAAAAACTATTATAATCCCGTTTTCAATTACATTCACCAGATTATTTCAGCTTTTTTGTTGATTTTGCGCCAAAAGCAAAACAGCCGAATTTCAATTTTTTTGCAACCCCAGAAGTTGTCCTCAAGCATTTCAACATGAGCCGAAGAAAGAAGCAGAAGGTAAGTCTTTCCATCATTTTATTTCAGTATTTCCATGGAGTTTAAAATAAAATAAACGCTAAGCCGAAAGTGAGGTTAACTCAGGAGATTCCATCCAGATTCCATCTGTTTAGTGGCGCGAGCTGGGTCAGCGAATTTTTTAAGTCCTAAATATGTACTAACCAAAAAGAAAGTACTTTTTGCGACCTAAACATTGGTTCATAAGTCATCTGAACATATCCATTGGGAGAATTTCTTTGCAAGATTTGGAGTGTGCTTCAGGTCATTATCTTGCTGGAAGATTGATCTTAAGGGCATATTGTCTTCCATATAGGGTAACATGACATGCCTTAGTATGTCTGTGTATATAAACTTATCCATAATGCCATCTATTCTATGTAAAGGTCCCATCCCAAACCCCGAAAAGGACCCCCAAACCATAACAGACCCGCCTCCATGTTTGACAGTGGGCAAAGTGTACTTGGGGTTCAATTTTTGTCCACTAGGACCTCTAACATAATGAACACCATCTGATCCAAACTTATTGAACTTGGATTCGTCACTGAAACATACCCTCCTTCAGTCACAGATGCTCCAAGTAAGAAGCAATGGTGCAAATTGTAATCAGTCCTTACGGTTTTTCCTCGAGATTAGCGGTTTCTTACTCGGGCGACGTGCAAATAACTTCAAATCATTTAATCTTCTACTTATAGCTTTCGTAGAAACACTGGCAATTCCTTTTGTCTCGATTTCGGCTTTTATTTGTCTTGGGGTTTTAAACGGATCTTTGGACAAAACTACTTTTATTAATCTAACTGATCTAGCATTTAGTTTTCTATGCCAACCACTTCTCTTAAAGGCTTCCAAGATACCTTTTTGTTTAAATTTGTTCAACACTGCCCAAACTGCTTCATGCTTCAGCTTAAAATTTTTGGCAATGTCGACTTGACGTTGACCATCTTTGTATAACTCAATGATCTTAGTTTTTACGTCAAAAGAAATTTCTGGACCATGCGGCATGGTCTTAAAATCACTCAACTAATCCTCTTCTGACACAAAACTGTACTAAACTAATGTTGAAAAGAATATGTCTACATATTTTTGCTCCTCATAAAAAAGTGCTTATATTCAGACTTGTATTGTGTTCACTGCAGATAATGTAAGAACAAGGAATTTATTTTTTCTACTAATAACGCATTTGTTTATGGAGCAATGAAGTATGAATTCGTTTTCTAAAGGTATTTAGGTAAATATTCATATTTGTCTATATACTTTTGTCCATTACTGTATGTGGTGGTCATTATCAACCTATCTTTTTCTCTTCAAACATAGAGACTATCAAACTTTTCTCTTGGAATTAAAGAAACCAAAATTCGACTGAAGCAACAGCCATTGGATGGACAGCAAAAGATAACAAATAATGTGGATTATAGCCAGTCACATTGTGTCTGACTACTGGTAGAGCGAATTTTCATAGAATCCCAATAACTGACCACCTTTTATCAAGACTGTGAAATAAAATTTCAGATTCCCACTTCATTCAGGAATGGATACAAAGAAAAAATAAATCCTTTATGTATAGTGAAAGGGGGTTAAAGGAGTCAGTCAAAGTTGTGAGAAAGATGAAAAATTGCTTGAAATATGTAAACAGTATAGTAGTTCAAAGTTGACAGTGCAGGACCATATTAAAGGAAAAAATTAGTCTTGTTCATTTTTATCTAGTTTGTATATATTTTTGATAAAAATACTTATATTAAATAGACTCATTATGAGTGTGTTTAATTTCTTTTCCTCAAAATCTTAATGAAAACTGATTTGAAATTTCTATTCTACTATTACAAATTTTTAAATATGGTTCTGTCTAAATCTGGCCCTCTATCCACTTCAGTTGGTCCACTTCAAGATTTGTACCAAAATATGCCTTTATAAACTAAACATGACGAAACTATTTACTTCTAAAACATATTTGAAATCACTTAGACCTATAACTAATAGAACATCTGAACAAATAAATAATGTGCGAATAAATGCGCGAAGTTAACAAAGCAACAATGGAAAGATTACCATTGGGTAACATCACCTTTATTTTTTATTACGGCTGAAATTCTTTGGGGCATAGTGTTGACCAAGTTTTGCCAAAAATTTGGTGTAAAACAATCCCATATTTCTTGAAGCTTTTGTCTCAGTTCGGTGATTGTAAGAGCAGGATGTTGTCGTAGAACCTGTTTCATCTCGTGCCACAAAGTTTCAATAGGTGACAGATCTGGACTGTTAGAAAACCATTTCAAAAGTGGTACATTATTTTCTTCCATCCATTTTATAGCCTTTTTTGAGGTATGGCACCATCTTGCTGAAACACAAAATCTTGGCCGGATGTCAAACATTCTTCCATCACTGGTAAATGCGATTCCTCTAAAATTGTCAAATATTTGTTTGTATCCACATTTCCATCAATAAAATGAAGTTTTCCTACTCCTTTTGATGACATACTGGAATGCTTCATTTTTTTGCGAATAACTCTACTGCGACTGTCACCAACACAAACTTCGAATCGGGCCTCATCACTCCATTGTATTGCACATCATTGTTGAGGTGTCCATTGTCTATGTTCTTTAGCCCATCTAAGCCGATTTTTCTTTTGCAGTGAAGTTAATAGTGGCTTTTCTTTGACCTCTAAACAAGTTGCGCAACTTTAGGGTTTTTACTTCACTTTTTTTATAAGAAAACTTACCTTGCAAGTGCTAAATCCCAGTTTGTCACTCCACAGAGCACTTAATTGTAAATAATTGGCACGCCTGTTTTTCACGATTATTCTTCTTAATGCGCTCTTCGGTCGGCATTTGTGATAGTACTTTTTTTCTCATATCATGGCTTAATATTAACTGAACCAGTTACGTTATATCTTCTAACAATATTTCTCACACTGTACCGTGATAAGTCTAACAAAGTTGCAATTTCTGAGTTTGATTTCCCAGAATAAAAAAAATTAATTATCAGTAACTAAATTTTCTCACTAATAACCTTTCCTCTACCCATTTTGAAAACCTTAACTACCCAAAACTATTTTAAACCTATTATGACAGCTGTGATTAATAAAAACAATTGTCATGGCTTTTATTTTTCACAGCCACCTATGCCTTATAGACTTATTTTGCATTGAAATGAAAATAAGTTGATATGATTTGATTAGGGAGTGATAAAGTTGGTGTTTTCTACTATATATTATCAAAATATTCATTGTTAACATTTTAAACCTATGACACCCTGCTACATTTTTATTATTTGTGTTTGATAAGAAAAAAATAAGTTTTCAATAGTTGGGCCAACTGAAGTGGGAAGGGGCTCATATATTTATAAGCAATGTATTTGTTGTTGGCGAAAAGTTAATAACACATATGATCACATCCAAAAGAATTAGTTGTATTATCTTGAACAAAAATTCGTACATATACTTTGTATTCCACTTTTGTCTACACTGTCTGACCACTGGCATATTCACCCTACTTAATATTTGACACACAAGGCTATCATTTCTTCACCCTCTAAGCGCATACAGAGGCACTTTATAGCACCTCAAAATCAATCCGTGTACCAAGTCAAAAGAATGGGTGTTTCATCTTAAACTGATACACTTCTCTTTTTTGCTTTCTTTCTCTTTTTTCATTCTTGTCTTCTTTTTTCTTCATTCTGGTGACATAATCTGCTGATATATTTTTGATCTATACAGAGTGATTTAAAACAGTGGAAATATTTCTACGGTGAAAGTAGGTCTAAAATATGGAAAGCCGTAAAAATTATAATTATATCTTAAATATCCCTCTATTCAGATATAGGTTGTGAAATCCCATTTTTTCAATCAAGAAAATAAGATTTTTGATTTTGTACATGAAGAAATAACAGCATAGCATAACCAATGCAGGCATTTTTTTGGATCAAACACTGGAAGCACACAAACTGTACCATTTTCACCCCTACTGAGCAAGAAAGAAAAATATTTTTCCACCAGCGTGTGGAAAGTACTCACTTTCAACACGCATTTGCGTGCAGAAAGTAGCACTCTTCCGCACGCTCCTTTCAGCACGCAGATGCATGTTGAAAGTGAATACTTTCCGCATGCTGGTAGAAAAAATCGTATACCTAACACTTGCGGAAAATAACTATTTTACATCACTAGCTTCTTAGAAACACCTTTTGTAGTTTTCGGTAAGCTGCTTAATTTTACATAAAACTATCTCTCTTGAGAAATGTTTATTTCTCCTTTTGGGGAAGAATTGGTTTGAATGTTTCAAGTAATATCTATATAAAATGATGGCATCAAGTAGTTTTACTCGTAGATTTTGAAAATTTTCGCGAGAACAATGCTTCCCCGCCAGTGGGTGTTTGAAGTAAAACCTAAATATGTTCTAATTTGAAAATAAACTGAATTTGGATAAGTCCATTATTGAAAATTGTATGTTATTCAAAGAATATTTTTGTTTTAACCCCGGACAGTTGCCGACAGTGACATAAAAAATTTGTACACCATGTATGTCAGCAAAGGGGCATTACAGAATGTTGCCATTGTTTTTTGAATCACCCTGTATATACAAGTAACAAACTGTGAACCCTTGTTTATTCTGAATCTTCTATCATTTCGTTTGTTGCATATAGCTTGACTTGAAAGAATCCGAGGAAAGGCCCTTGATCAAACAAGAAGAGGATGTTCAGGAAACAACACCTGAAAAGCCTAAGATGCAAGGAACCGACAAAAAGACAAGCCCTGGAGCTGGTTCAAAAACAGCAAAGAAGGAACCGAAAAAAGAAGACATCAAGAAAGAAGATACACCTCAGGTAAGACATTTCTAATGATTTATTTACCGCCAATTTTATCATCAATTTATTGTTTTGGAAAGTATGATTCCAGCGGAAAATAATACATTCAATATGTTAAATCAAGACCAAGCTGTGTTGATGCAAAACATGTACAGATAGACTTTAGAATGTAATTTTATTTTATTCTTATATTTCTCAACAGATACAAGATCGAATTACAGATAAAAACTATACAAGTGATGAAAAATGCAAAAAATAGTATCATGGATTTCATATCAGAAATCTCATACAACCATATTCAAGTAAACTTGTAACTAACGTGAAATGCAGTACTTTCAATGATTCCGTTTTAGTAAAAGATCTGCAATTTCTATTCAAGCATAGATGAAGCTGATTTAAGAGTACAGCAGACGCTCGATAATGTAAACTTAATTTAATCCAAGTGTGGTTCACATTATCGAAATGTTTACATTAGCGAACGTGATTTATATATTTGATTTATTAAAAGAAACGTTTGATACATACTATTTATAACAAAATAAACAAATATTCTAACAGCGATAAGTATTTCTTTAATTAGAAGAAAAATAATTAACAATTTTTGTCTGCGTAAATTTGCGCTTAGCATTGTCTTCCAATGCCTGCGCCCGTAATTTACGAAGAACTAAAATATCCGTGTATGAAACTTCTTTTCTTTCAGCCCAATCTAAAGCTTGGTTAAAAACTTGTATAGCTTGCGCGTCAGTCACTACACTTCTGACTTCAATGGGATCGTTCTCATCATCCTCACTGTCCATATCCTCCTCCTTATCAGCATCATTCGTCTGCTTATCTTCGTTCCATAAATTAATATCAGCAGGAGTACAAACAATGTTGGGATTCACTATTTTCAACAAATCAACAACATCCAATGACACACTAATAACATTATCATTATTGGATCGCAAACGTTCTCTAATTACGCTTAAGGGGACATCGTCTTCTTCATCATCTTCATTATTGGTACAAAAGAGATTGGTCCAACATTTTTGAATAGTTTGCTGGTTAAGTTCATTCCAGGCCATATGTAAATCTAAAACAGCTTCTCGTAATGTTACTTTTTTTAAAGCCTCAGATAAGTTTTCAGGATTCTTTGATAAGGCAGACGAAAGTAGAAACTTCCTATAGTAGTAGTAGTTTGGTGAGTCTTATTATATTCTGGTCCATCGGTTGAATTAACGGTGTTTCGTTGGGCGGCATGTACTATACATGACGAAAATTGACCCATCCCTGCTTCTCAGTTGTTGCTCGGGAGGATGACTTGGTGCATTATCCAATAGTAACAACGCTTTTATTGGAAGCTTCTGTTGTTTTAGGAAACCTTTTACCTACAAATTGAAAACACATCCTCAAATTATGAATAGAGCATTTGTGATAATTGATTGTCATACCTGAGGGACAAAGCACCTGTGGAACCATTTCAGGAATATACTGCTAGTCATCCAAGCGGTTTTTGAACAGTCATAATCAACAGGGATATTAACATTTTTAAATGAGCGCGGATTTTTGGCTTTCCCCATCACCAGTGGCTTTATTTTGTGTGAACCATTAGCATTAGTGCAGGCTAGAAACGTTATTCGTTGTTTCTCCGGCTTTCTTCCCGGGGCAGATTTTTCAAATGATGCAGCATAGGTTTTCTCTGGTAACATTTTCCAATAAAGGCCACTTTCATCTGCGTTGTAAATTTGTTCCATTCTTAAATCTAGCTCGGTAATTGTTTTCATCAATTTTTCTTTGAATGGTTGCACTAATTGTGGTTGTGTTGATAATTTTTCACCAGATATACACAGCAGTCGAATTCCATATCTTGTTTTGAATCGTTGTACCCAGCCATCACTAGCTACGAAATTTTCAGTTTCTTTCAGTTTTTCATTTAACAGTCTCGCTCTCTGTTTAAGTACTTCGCCACTAACTGGGACATGATTTTCCCGTTGTTTTAAAAACCACTTATACAGGGAATTTTCCATTTTAGGTGCCTTCGCATTTTTTAAAGTTTTTCTTTTTCCCGGACCTCCAAATGTATTGCACGTTCTTTGTAAAATTTGAGTTTTCATACGCTTAATTTTACCGATTACTCCATATTTTTTTGCTAACTGTGTCACTCCCGCACCTAGTGCAACTTCGTCTATGATTTTCACTTTCTCACTCAACTTTAAACACTTTCTTTTATAGGATGTGGATGCCATAGTCGTAAAATATATTAACGCGTGCAATGTATTCACTTAAGTTCAAAAATGAAATACATACGTACGTATAAACGTATCCTAAACGACCATACGACTGACCGAGTTTGTCGTATTTTATCGCAGAGGTGAATCCCCTACACTCCACATCATAAATCGGGGACTCCCCGACGCCCGACATAAATCATCGAGGCTTCAGCATTTTACCGTCGCGCTGTTTCCGTGCGCCGAGAGTTGTTTACGTTATAGAGCGTACACATTGTTTACGTTATCGCGCGTTCCGTTTGATCCTATAGAACGAAGTTTGTGTTCACATTAGCGCAAGTTTTCATTATCCCGTGTTTACGTTATCGAGCGTCTGCTGTATTTGGTTAAGTCTGCTGAAGTATTAGTCATGCGTAGGTCCTTTGGCCTCGGCCAAGTTTGTGATTGTCCAGTATATAATCATATTGTATGATAGACTGTCAGATACTCAATTTTTGATCTTGGAAATTGTTCCATGCATCTTTTTGATCCTACCTAGCAAATTTTGTATAACATTCACATACCTTAACAAATCAGAATTTAAAGTTCTTCTCACAGTACGATTGGATGCTATGATTCCACTGTGGACGTTTAGAAAATATTGGAAAATCTACAGCCCCGTGATGATCTTTAAGTTGCCATTATTACAAATTTCAGTTTGTTCTTGGAGTGGCGGACAGTGTCATTCTGCGTAGTGACAGCAAGACACATAGTAACACCACTTTTATATTCATGATTGTGTAGTGCCACAATGTCTGTGTACACCGTACAGGAATACGCAAACATGCACCTCATTTATGGGGAATGTAAATGCAATGCTAGTGCTGCAGCTACATAAGCCTCAGCTGAAACATACCAGATCTATGTATTTTACAAGGAACTATCCCCAAACTTATTATTTTATTATATAGTTGTCGTCACCATTCTTGGCGGGACAAAGTAAGACTACCACTATCCCTTTCTATACCTCCATCTCCCTCATACATACACATGCAATCTGCTTCTGTATGTAAACGTTTGTTCGGTAAGCTCAAAGACATACGTTTTTCAGTTGTCTCCGTCTCGAAAACTTAGTCGTTACATATGAGTGCCCTTCAATCATATTTGTCAGAGTGTCAACTCACTTGACATCGGCGTGCAATTCGAGTTTTCCTGCTATGAATCTTCAATATAAAATTGTACAATGCTCGGAAATACCATCAATGGAGAAGGTCGACAGCTCGTGCTACATTTATTAGAGTATTTCTAGGAAGAGAATGAAAACAGCGGTCCCCTGTTACCCACTTTATGCATACTGGAAAGAGTAGCAGATGCGCTGAAGATTAGTATGTGCAGTGTTCCGCCCATGGTACGGAGACTCGATCTGTTTACTTATTTCATATGGCGTTGATGGCGTAACCTCCAAGAACCGTGACTACAACTATACACATGGTCGTTAATCTTTTAGCTAGCTTTACAATGATTTCATTATATACATAGTTACTTTGCCAGATTAATATATCCATTGTATGATATGATAGGCAACTTGGAGCAAGGACAAGAAAAAGGAAGATGCCGACTCTGAAATCGACGACCCTGTCATCAAGGACCTTTTCTCAGGCTTGGAAGGAGCCGCATTCCAAAGTAGGATGCCATTTGACAAGCTGACATCGACAGAAGCTGCCTGCTTTCCTGATATCGCCAATGCAGTATTGCAAACTGTCAAGGTCTATCTCAACATCAGGAACAGAATTCTACAGGTATTGAAAAATGTTCATTATCAAAATTTTTGTTTTAAAAGTTAATTTTTTTTCAAAAGTTATACCTAAATCCCTAACTGTATCAGTTCTCATGAGGTTTCGGTTTGCGACTTTATTTTCATACATGAGAGAATATGAACTGTGGCTAAAGCGTATCTGGTAGCATTTATTCAAATTAATGAACTACACCACCAAGTAAGATTTCTGAGATCTCTTTGTAAGATTTCCGCATCGTGGATATTTCTCACTATCTGAATAATACTGGGTGCGCCATCTATTACTTTTTTTTTACCTTTTTTACCTATAAGTTTATGTGTTACCATTCGCAACAATTGGGAATTAGTGAGACCACTTTACGCCGGATTTTACACATTGATTTACACCTTCATCCATACAAAATCCAACTAACACAAGAATTGAAGCCGGCAGATCATCAACAGGGGCGTGTTTTTGTTAATTGGATGCTGGAAAGAGAAGACGGATTTTCGGCCAAAGTGCTCTTTTCTGATGAGGCTCATTTTCACCTCAATGGGTACGTAAATAAGCATAATGGCAGATTCTGGGGGGCTGAAAATCCACACCAATATCTTGAACAACCTCTTCATCCTGAAAAAGGGACTGTTTGGTGCTGACTATGGGCTGGTGGCATCGTTGGACCATTCTTCTTTGAAGATGCCGAAGAAAAGGCTATTACCGTCAACGGGGAACGTTGTCGCGGCATATTCACAGACTTTTTGTGGCCACAATTGGATCGTATTGGTGCCGACGATCTTTGGTTTCATCAAGACGGAGCAACGCCTCACACATCTCGCCAAACAATCGCCTTATTGCACACGAAATTTCAAGACCGCATAATTTCACGAAATTCAGATGTCAGTTGGCCCCCGAGATCGTGAGATTTAACACCTCTTGACTATTTACTTTGGGGATTTTTGAGAGGAAAAGTCCATGCGAATGGTCCCCGGACAAATCAAGACCTAAAGCGCAATATTCGGACTGAAATTGCAGCCATAGACCCGATTATTCTGGGAAAAGTCATTGAAAATTTTGATGTAAACGAAGCCGCGGTGGTCACATGACTGATGTTATTTTTCATACATAAATCGCATAAACCAACCTTCATTTATCAATAAAAAATTTGATTTCACCTCGTCAAAAGCGTGTTGATTTTTCAAATAGAAAAAAAAAGTAATAGATGATACCTGACTGGCAGATCCCAATGCACAAAGATATTTAACAAAATTTCCACTTTACAAAATGTAGTTTCTGGTGTTCCGCAAGGAAGTGTATTAGGTCCATTACTATTTACATTCTATACATCTGATTTATTAAATTTTATATTACATGCTTGGAATATACATCTATATGCTGATGATGTACAAACGTATAAAGCTTGCAAGCCAAATGAAGTTAATTTATTGATTAAAGGGTTAAATGTAAATCTAGAAATGATTGCAAACTATTCCAAAAATTATTGTTTGAAACTGAATCCCACAGAAACTAAAGCTTGCTGCATTGGTTCTAGGTTAAATATTTCAAAATTTAAAGGATTGATGAGTACAGCCATTGTTTTAGGTGATACATCTGTTGAAATTGTAGAGGAGACTAAGAATTTAGGCATTTTGTTGGACACAAATTTAAGTTTTGAGAACCATGTCATTAATAAAGTTCGATTATGCTATTGTAAATACAAGTCACTTTGGAGATACAAACATGTTTTAACCAGCGATATAAAATTAGGCTTACCAATGCACTAATCCTCACTCACCTAGACTATGGCGCTTCAGTATATTATAATTTTCTGACGGAAGAAATGAAGCACAAAATTCAAGTATTACAAAACTGCTGCATGAGATTCTGTTTCAAAGATATACATTCCACGTCGAGATGGCAGACGATGTGGACGTATGTGCGATATGTGCTGATAATTTCATTGTTAACAGCAAAGTAATAAAGTGCAAGCTGTGTGTGAGATCATTCCATCCTGTGTGTGTTGAGTTGAAGGATCTAATCTGCAAGTATCTGTGTGAGTTTGATAATTTGATCTGGTTTTGTGATAACTGCAAACAAGTAGGAAACTCTAGCGTCACTAAATCGCAGCTGGATGTTAATAGTGACAGTAATTCGCATATGTTGATACTGCAAAAAGAAATCGAATGTCTTAATAGAGAGAAAGATATCCAGGCTAAATTAATTAGTGAACTCGAGTCTTCCTTGGAGTTACATAAATTCAAATCCGATACGTTACAAAAAGAGCTCAGTGAGGCAAAAAGTGCTATTGCTCCAGTAAAAAATATTGCTAGCACGAACACGTATAGTCAGGTATTACAGAAAAATGTAAAGAATGAGAAAAATGTAGAATCGTGTGTTTTACTAGTGAAATCAGCTGATAGGAATAATAGAGATGATGTGCTACAAGTCTTGTCAAAAACGATTATTCCTTCTCGTTTAAATATATGCATTAGCGGCACTAAGAAAATTAAAGAAGGGGTTGCTGTGTACTGCAAGGGAGATGACGATGTGGCAAAACTAAAAAATGCTGTCAATGGTCAACTAAATGGCCGTTTGACTGCCAACGAGTTGAAAAAATACAACCCCCGTCTGCTAGTAAAAAATGTGAATTTCTCTGATGATATCAAGGATGACAAGATGTTAATTGAGAACATCGTGGGATTGAATGACATGGATGATCATGCGGATTTAAAAGTTATCACCAAAATTGAAAGAACTCGTCAAATAGTTCTGGAAGTATCCCCTGATTTACGCAAGAAGCTTCTAACACGAGGCTATGTCTGGTTGGGTTGGAGAAAGTGTCCTATTGTTGATCATCTGCGGATAACCCAGTGCTTCAGATGCTGTAAGTTCGGGCATATTGCTAAGCAATGCAAATCGTCTACCTCTGCATGCATCAAATGCTCAAGAGATCATATGGCAAATCAGTGCGAGGTCGCAAGTGACCAGGTGAAATGTATAAATTGTGTAAGTTATGGTTCTAAGTCTAAGTCACACGTCCAAGTTAATCATGCTGCAAATGATTCTCATTGTCCGGCTTATATAAATTATGTGCGCAATTTGAAAAATAGAATTAACTTTGATTAGCAACTCTAGTTGAACGACTCTTCTTTGTACATATATTTCCTTAATTTTTAACTTTTTATTATTTTTGTTAATACTCCTGAATCCATATGGAACCTGTTAGTATTACGAAGAAGTGCAAAATAGGTCACCTAAATATAAGATCTCTGATGTCAAGTTTTGACGCATTTACGGACATGATGAATGAGGATGATTTTGACATTCTTGCTCTAACGGAAACATGGTTAAGCCCTGATATCACAATGGATGTAGTTAACATCAGAAATTTTAACTTTTTTCGCAAGGACAGGTTGTCTCGTGGTGGTGGTTGTGGTGTTTATATTAGACAAGACATACGTGCTGAGATTATTGATGATGACGTCACGCTCAACACAGTTCCGTTTTTAGAGCAGCTATGGGTAAAATTAAGGATTGATCAGCATGATTTTGCTTTAGGTATATTGTATCGTCCCCCTTCACAAAGGCTAGTTGATTGTACAAATGCCTTAGACAATATAATGCCTAATGTACTGAGTAATTTTAAAAATATATATATATATAAAAATTAATGCTTGGATATGTAAGGTTTCAAGCAAATTATTGATGCTCCCACTAGAGTAACTAATAGTACAGCAACTCTTCTGGACAGTATTTTTATTAATACCCCAATTACTGTCACTAACTGGTTTACTTTAGATGCTAATTTGTTGTCCGATCATAAAATTGTTTGCTGTATCTTAAACATATCCCGTGTGAAACATGAACAAAAAATGATCACCTTCAGAGATTTCTCACACTTTGATGAGCGATCTTTCATTGATGACCTGGCTAGAGTAAATTTTATTGAAATTTGTTATATGAGGAATATTGATGATAAAGTTCAATTTTTCAGTAGCAAGTTAATTGACATCTTCAATCGTCACTCTCCTATAAGGACGGTACGCGTGAGTAAGCCGAAAGCGCCGTGGTTGTCATATCCGTTGAGACAGCTTCTGAAGCAAAAAACGAGAGCATATCATTTATACAAGATAGACAGAAGTCCAGCAAGATTGCAGGTTTTTAGGGAACTTAGAAACCTTGCACTATCGTGCATTAGACATGAAAAAATGGCGTATCTTGCTCACTTGGAAAAATGGCGTGATCAGAAAAAATTGTGGTATGAATTGAAAAATATGAAAGCACAAACATCTGATAAGCCACGTATTCCAAACCATCTTGCAGACTCTTTCCTTGCAAATAATTATTTCTTATCAGTTTTTGATTCCACAAATGCTCCTGATCACGTTTTAAGGTATTATAACGAAAATGTTCCCCATGTTAATAAATTTTCTTTCAGGCTTCTAGAGCCTCATGAAGTAGCTGAAATAATTTCTAGTTTTAAGTCCGATGCAAAAGGTACTGATGGGTTGAGCTTGTCTATGATTAAGCTCAGTCTGCCTGTTACTCTCATCTACATCACCCACCTTGTTAATAGTTGCCTTGAAAGAGGTTATTTCCCTGAAACGTGGAAGCGAGCAATTGTGGTACCAGTTCCAAAAAAATCAAATCCAGATGAGTTTGCTGATCTAAGGCCTATAAGCCTGTTGCCTTGTTTATCGAAGGTAGTTGAAAAGGCAGCCCACATACAACTAATGCATTATGCAGAGGAACATATCATCCCATCTGATCAGTCTGCTTTTAGGAAATCTTTCAGTACTACTACTTCCCTCTTAAACTTAGTGGATAATATTATTAGAGCACTTGATAAAAAAATGGGCGTAGCAGTGATGTCAATCGATTATTCCAAGGCATTTGACAAAATAAATCATGAGTTGTTAATAGCAAAGTTGAAGTATTATGGCATAGATCCAATTGCATTGAATTTTTTTCGAAATTATATATCAAATCGATCACAGTGTGTATCAATTGAAAACAATAAATCTAGTTTTCTAGAAATCTCGTCTGGAGTACCCCAGGGGTCTGTTTTGGGTCCCTTGTTGTTTTTGATATATATTGCTGATCTGCCTAAGGCTGTGAGTTTTTGTGAACTCCAGTCTTTTGCGGATGATACTCAACTGGTCCATTATTTTGATACTGATGATATGGAAATGGCACAGACATCAATAAACCATGATATTCAAAAAGTGTATGACTTCTCGAATAACCACAACCTGTCAATAAATCCTGGTAAATCCAGCCTGTTATTTTTTTGTTCGGATCGTAGGAGAGAAGAAATTAAAAGTCGATTAACTATTAAAATTGGATCTCAAAGACTGTACCCGGTTGACGAGGTTAAAATTTTTGGCGTGGTAATCGATTTCAAACTTAGATTCACCAGTCATGTTAAAAATCTTTTGAAGAAAACCTACTTGAGACTGAGATCATTATATGCCAATAAAGCAATTTTCAATTATAAGCTAAGGAAAAAACTGTGTTCATCTTTGGTTATGCCGATTTTCAACTACTGTGATATTTTATATTATCCGTGTCTCAATGTTGTTACTAGAAATCGGATTCAAATTGTGCAAAACAATTGTGCTAGGTTCATCTGCGGTTTAAGGCGCTTTGACCATGTTTCTGGTAGTCTTATTGAATTAAACTGGATGATAACAAAAAATATTGTCAAATATCATTACCTTGTTTTTATTCATAAACTAATACTTATGTCAAAACCTATATACTTAAGAGAAAAGCTGATCTTTAGGCGAAATATTCATCATAGACATATTAGATTTCCAGATTTGATAACTACACCTATTCACTCCACAACTTTATTCCAGCGTTCTTTCACGTACAGGGCTTCAGTGTTATACAATGCCTTGAGTCCTGAATTCAAAACCATGTCCTTAAATTGCTTCAAGAAAGCTGTCAAATCTCATATTTACTTGGATCCATAGTCTTAATTAGATTGCTATAGATATATTGTTAAATGATTCTTCACTTCCCTTGTGTACATGTAGCAAAGCTTGGTGCAACATGTACGTATGTAATGTGTGTATATGTATGTATGTATATATGTATATTTTGTTTGATATCTGCTACTTAACAACTTGTTTTTTTTTGCATGGGTGGTTAAGTGTAAGAGTAGCATGTTGCTAAACTTCGCCACCATATGCAACTCTTGTTTCTGTATGAAGTACAGTTTAAATAAAGACGATTATTATTATTATTATTATTATTATTATTATTATTATTATATACAAGAACATATAACTGGATATTATATGAGAGAAAATCTTTTAAAATTCAAGTATCGTGTATTACTTCAGTATGGAACTCTACTATATATAGTTTTAAAATATAAATTACCCAGATATCTGTTTATTGCTTTGGAGAAGAGATGTTCACTCCGTAAAGTTTCCTTACGCAACAATGAATACTTCAATATTCCAGTTCATACAACATCTAAATTCAAAAAATGTTTTACTTACACGGCACCATATCTACTAAACGATCATTTAGAACTTTTTGAAGCACCTTCCATCCAAAACTTCAGAAATGAGATGGAAAAAGCGCTACTACAGCTGCAAAGATTTGAATCCACAAATTAAATTTATGGCGCTTGCTACACTACCCTCCATTAACACTCAGACTATATCGTATTACATACTGTGTTTTGCATAATATTTGTTGTGAATACTAATCATTCTGTTGATGTTAAAAAACGCTCATGAAGTTAACTTTTTAGGGGGAGGTGAAAAATGGCCCTGCCAATCCTCTTTCCTTTTGGAATGTTCTCGTTTTTATATTTTTATGTATAAACATTCCAATAAAAATTATTATTATTATTATTATTGTTATTATTATTATCTATACTTCTTCTCCAGTCTTCCACCATCATTTGGATTGCCGGCAAGACATTAATAATGGTGGAACACTTTAGTTTCGATGGGAATTCACCATGTAGTAAACAATGATTCACCAATAATAATAACTACTCTCCAATTATATTGTAACAATCATTTAGAATATTTTTTGAGAGAATCTCTCTTGGATTTTTATTAGATTTCAATTTTGAGATAGCTTTTCTTAGATAGTTCATGTTAATTGTCCTAAATTGCTTCATTGATAAATTCTGACATACTTGTAATGGACATAAGTTTGGATCACCGTCATCAATCGTCTTCACTATTTCATTTACACTTTCTATAACATAAGTGTTCATTCTTTCTGCTATAATTAATTTGTTTTGACTTGTTCCAACGCAACTCGTCCCGGCTCCACTGGTTCTAGTTACATAAATCTTTATTTACAATTGTTTTGACATTGTTCAAGCAAAATTAGAGGGTATGCGTTTGAAAAAAAAGAACTTTAATTTTGTTCACCTTCAACAGTAATTTCAATGTGCTTTATCAAACTTTATTCAGATGTGGCTGGAGAACCCTAAGCAGCAGCTCATTTTGGAGCAGGCTATAGAGCGCATGGAGCCCCCGTACAACAGCGATCTGCAGCTTCTGAATCGCGTGCACGCCTTCTTGGAGCGCAACGGCTTCATCAACTACGGTATCTTCAAGCGCTTGAAGCCCATTCCGGCCAAGAAGTACGGGAAGGTGATCGTGATTGGCGCCGGAATCGCCGGCTTGGCCGCCGCTCAACAGTTGCAGCAGTTTGGATTGGAGGTGATCGTCTTGGAGGCCAGAGATAGAGTCGGCGGGAGGATTGCGACTTTTAGGAAAGGTAATGATGGGAGGATGGACATAGTATGGACCAAGTATTTTTAGGCTCGCAACAAGTCGATTTGACATGGTCGACCTCTATGCAAAAGTGCTTCGGTTGTCCGTTAGAGTTTTCTCTTTAAAACATATTTTTTAGGCTATATTTTTTTTATTTAAATACAAAGAACCAGGAGAGACATAGGCGGCGAAGCTTAGCCAAGGCTACTCTTACACTTAACTACTTATGTCGGTTACATTAGATGTTCAATACAAAAAAATAACAATATGAAAAAAAGAACATAAACACCTATGCGAGCATAAAAATTACATTGCATAACGGCACAGCACAGTCTTAGCCTATGGCGAGCAGCCTGCTTTTGACTTGCTCGCGGAAACTCGGGAATGACATTGATTTTAAGCTTTTTTCCAAGTGATTATAGAATAACGCTCCATTATACAGGGTGGCGCATCGAAAAGGAAACAGACGCATTTACTGGCAGCTCAGTTTTTTTTTTTGGAAAAACGCTCAGACCCGTCGATTTTGTTTTCAAGGGTTCACAAGTTTGGCAAAAAATCACGTTATCACGTGCAGCCCCCTCGGCGGCGGTGACACCAACCCTAAAATCTTAAATGGAAACGGGGGATCGAGTGATACCTTATTTTAAAGGTCTTTCAATTCCCTTTATAATGATGTAAAATACATGAGCTTCAGTTCAGTAGTTTTGGAGATTTATTGATTTAAAGCTTAAAGTAGACTTTAATAGGTACATCAGATTAATTTGTACTACTTTCAGAAGAAATTTGACTAAAAGAATTTACTTAATAAAGTAACTGCTTTTCTTCAATACGCCCATGGTTTTTTTATCATTTTGTTGTTGAAAATAGCTATTGGAGCGTTTTTTTGTGGCAAAAAAGTTATTTCTTGAAGAAAGATACGGAAATATCTCGTACTTATTTTAAATAGGAATTTAGTACATAGTTAGCGATTGGTTTGACCAAACTTTGTTGCTAAAATAACTTGTAAAGCTTTATTACATAAATTAACCATGGTATATTCCACAGCAGAAAGAGTTGAAATTATCGAAATATTTTTCGGAAATAATCAGTGCGCTAATAGAACAGCAGAAATATTTAATGAGCGACATGAGAACAGTAACGTGCATCGAAAATATGTTCTAGAACTGGTAGCTAAATTTCGGGAAACTGGGTCAGTCGCCAATAAGAAACGCAACATTGAAAATCCCATAAGGAACGAAGCAATAGAAGTGGGGGTTTTAGGGCAAGTTTATGTAGATCCTACGTTAAGTACCCGCAAATTGGAGACTGTGTGGTGTTAGTCGACGTACTGCCCAACGGATTCTAAAGGCCCATAGTTTTCATCCGTATAAAATTCACCTGGTACAAGAACTTAATGAAGACGATTTTGATCGACGATTACAATTTTGTGATGATATGAGTGAACGAATTATAAACGACGAACATTTTCTTTTCAATACTTGCTTTTCCGACGAATGTTCCTTTTTCTTAAATGGCGTAGTAAATCGTCATAACTGCCGATATTGTTCCGATTCTAATCCCAGAATTTATCATGAGGTTCATACACAGCAGAAACAAAAATTAAATGTTTGGGCTGGTATTTTTGGCGATCATTTAGTTGGTCCTCTTTTCTTACCTGGAAATTTGAACGGTATTTGGAATTATTGGAAGACGCCATAGATCCTGCATTAACAGCCATAATTGAAAATCAGAATGATCGGCGGTACATTGCGAATGGATTGATGTTCCAACAGGATGGTGCCGCACCACATTACGCATTACGTGTTCGACAACATTTAGATCAGACGTTTCCAGATCGATGGATTGGTAGAAGAGGTGCCATTGAATGGCCCCCAAGATCGCCAGATTTATGACCTTTGGATTTCTTTATGTGGGGTCATTTAAAAAGCAAAGTCTATGCTACTCAGCCAACATCATTAGAAGACCTGCGACAAAGAATTGTGAATTAGTGCCTTCAAATTACTCCTCAAATATTGCAAAATGTGCGGCAACGTTTTGAGCAAAATCTTGATTATTGTGGTGGCCATTTTCAACATCTTGCCTAACGTCATCAGTTCATTCTTCATTTTTAAATAACTTTGCTGCCAAATGTATTGATCTCCACTAATGATGATGTATTAGTTTTATTTATGCTTTATATCAATAAATCTTCAAAACTACTGCACTGAAGTACATTATATCATTATAAAGGGAATTGAAAGACATTTAAAATAAGGTATCACTCGACCCCCTTTCCATTTAAGATTTTAGGGTTGGTGTCACCCCCGCCCAGGGGGGTGCACTTGTTAACGTGATTTTTTGCCAAACTTGAGTCCCCATCGAAAACAAAATCGACGGATCTGACTGAGCGTTTTTCAAAAAAAAACTGAGCTGCCAGTAAATGCGTCTGTCTCGTTTTCGATGCGCGCCACCCTGTATGAACAACCACGTTGGAATAAAGCAGAATTGTATGGGGCGATTCGGAAATTATAGCGATTTCTGACACTTCACAGTTGAATCGTAATTTACCTCTCAGGTATTCAGGTTTCGATGTTATGAAAATGTTATGAACTAAAACTAAGCACTTATATTTAAGTAGACTACCCAACCTGAGCCAATTTAATTCTTTATATTTTTCACCAATGTGATCATATCTTCGCAGACCGAAAATAAAGCTAACGCACTTATTTTGAATTATTTGAAGCCGGTTTTTCGTTAACTGATCCAGACACGGGTAATAAACGACATCACAGTAGCTCAGTATTGACATCACCAATGATTCACAGAGTTTTTTTCTCAACTTGAAGTTGAGCAAGCATCGAACAGAATAAAGGGCTCTAGAGCAAAGATATGTTTTTTCATTAAATTAGCTGTATGGCTGCGGAATCTTAACTTGCTATCAACTTCAACACCCAGTATCTTAGCTGTCTGAGTATGTTGTAGCACTGTGCCATCAAGAGTTGATTGGAAAGAGTCTTCAACGTTTCTTCTTTTATGGTCAGAACAAAACAGTATTATTTGCGTTTTGTCTGGATTTATAACGAGATTATTATCTACGGAAAATTGATATATTTTATCCAAATCTATTTGCAAAGTGGGTGCTGCATATTGTAAATCTGTGGTGTCGAAATGATAAATTATTTGTGCGTCATCAGCGAATGTTTGAATTTCTGAATTACCTGCAACATTATACACGGTGTTTCAGTTTATTGTTGCATTACTTTAAGATTCGATAGAACTTTCAAAATTAATGCATAAAGTATATATAAACATGGGTCGAAAAATGCGTGGCTTCCGAAATACAGGGTGTTTAAATTTACTTTCTAAAATAGTTTTTTTTAAATATTTCGAACAATATTTGATGTATAACAGTGAACATTGGTATACAAGGGTTTTTTGGTACGACAAAACGAACCATGGGCATAGTTTTACTGCAGCCACTACAGGGCGCTCTCTACTGAACCTGTAGTGTATTAAAATGACCGACAAATTTTTTTTAGTGCAATTTTTTGCTTTTTGAATAAAAAAACTGATTCTTCGCACTTTTCAACATAAAAAAGCTATCCTGTGAGTTTTCGTTATAGTTAGCCGTTTTTGAGATATTTCGATTTTTAAGGTTCGACGCATTTTTAATTATTTATGGGAAAATAATATTTTTTTTTTACATTTTCGATTTGGGCATTACAAGTAATTAAGATGATCATTTAGATTGTGTTTTCAAACACAGCAATAATTCCTAACTCCAAATAAACACAAAAAAACAATATTAATTTGTTTAATTTTCCAATATTATTTTTAACAAATTAAATTAATTATTTACAACTAAAATGCTATTGGATAGTTAGGACAAACATACAAAATCTAAAGTAGTTGCTCGAAATGTAAACCCTAATTGTTCAATACACAATTCACATCTACGAATGATCGAACGTGGTATAGATTAATCAAATAAGGCCTTATTTCATCACATGCATTCCTGATTCTGTCTATTAGCATATCTCTTGTGGTTACGGGAGTCTGGTACACTTTTTCTTTTAGAAATCCCCTTATAAAGAAATCTAATGGATTTAGGTCAGGGGATCGTGGAGGCCAGGCGACTGGTCCTCCACGGCCGATCCATCTTTCTGGATAATTTTCGTCCAGCCAGTTTCTAACTATTCTCGAATAATGAGCTGGACAACCATCAAGCTGGAACCAGGCCAATCTTCTTAAATCTAACATAACATCATCCCACCCACATCTTTCTTTTTTATTCGAATTTGACGTAATGCTCTATTTCTTAGCTGCTTGAATTTCTCAAAAGCATCTGTTGATTTACTAGTTTTATACTTCGTGAAAGCAGAATCCTTTTAACAATTTTTTCATTTCCTCATCCAACCAAGGAGAAGGCGGCTTATTAACGCGTACTGTCTTTATCGGAGCATGTTTATTATAAATATCCATAAGAATTGACGTCAGATGTTCAACTTTAACATCTAAATCATGCATCAAGATTAAAGCTACATAGATCGGAAATGAAAGCAGTCTATCAAATCTACGGAAATCTCTCATGGTAATAAATTTTTGTCGAGGCTTTTCGGTAAGTTTCAATGTAGACATAACAAGTTTATGGTCTGATATTTCATGAGCATCGACAACTAGACAATCAGTAAAAAGTTGCGGCTGATTAGTAAGAACCTATAGTCCGCATGCATACACTACCGTTCGAAGTATTTGAACACCTGCGTATTTCCGTTTAAAATCATAACAAACAAAAAAAAAACTATTCAGTACGTGTTTATTCCATTTAAAATCATAACAAAAAAAACATTCAGTACGCATTTTTTTTCCTTTATTTTTTGAAAACCGTCACCATGGAAATCAGGCATCACTAAAAGGTTATAATAGGAATTTATTTGCCTTATATTATAGGAATTCTTTCTCAGGATTTGTTTTTCGATTATTTCTTTTAATTTGTGTTGTACGTAAATCCATAACACAGTGTCACTTCAGTTATCTTAAGGACCTAATTTAGCCCTAACTTTTGTGCAATGTTTATTATGTCCTTTGGATTAAGCAAATAGAAATCTCTCTTGAATTTTTTCGTATCTTGCTTAGTTTTCGAGAAAAAACTCTTATTATATATAAAAAATAATCCAAAAGAAACTTTTACCCATATTTATTGTGTGGTTCAGGAATGTGAAGTGGACTTTTTCCCCGAAAACAAAGTAGGATACGAAAAAAATTCAAGAGTCAAAAAATCTGTATTTCTGCTTGCTTAATCCAAAGAACATAATAAAAATTGCACACAAGTCAGTGGCGTACATTTTTTCTCACAAATATTCGTTCAGATCCCGCTCGAGACACAAGTGGACTTAATAAATTTAATCAAGTTAGGGCTAAAATAGCTCTTTACTACCGCCAAATTACAACAAAATTAGGTAAAGTCTATACTTTTTGTCTTAAAATTACTCAAAGATTCGTCTGTTAAATGTATGCCACATACTTCATTTTGTATGGTATTATGCTAGAATGAGCCTGAATAACTTTTTCTCACATAGGCAACTACATAGCAGATCTTGGCGCCATGGTAGTGACAGGTCTCGGCGGCAACCCGGTGACCACGCTGAGCAAACAGATCGACATGGAGCTGCACCGTATCCGTCAGAAATGTCCGTTGTACCAGTCCACAGGTGTTACAGTCGACAAGGATAAAGATGAGATGGTGGAAAGGGAATTCAACAGGCTGCTGGAAGCCACGTCATATCTGTCGCATCAGCTTGATTTCAACTATGCCGGCAACAAACCTGTCAGCTTGGGGCAGGCGCTGGAGTGGGTTATCAAGCTACAGGTGAGCTTCAATATTATACGGAAGTAGTAGATTTTGTACGAAGCTCGATTAATGGCCAAGCATGAAACCGTTAGCTGACTGTTTGTTTGTTTGTTTAAGATTTATTTTACGTGATTGATACAATGACATTTTTTAAAAAACTACAAATGACCCAGATATTTAGAAAAACAAAATTTTAAACATCTTTAAATTACAAGTAGACTTTATATCATTAGTTAGTTTATCAAATTCAAGTAATCCTTTTTCAAATATTGATTTGCTACCTATATTACTATTGCAATTTTCTCTGAAAATTTTGTATCCGCCAAGAAAAGCACCGCAGGACGATTGGATTGCAGGTTGTGTTGAACAGCGTCAATGTTGCTGTTAGTCCCGCAGATGTTCGTGAAACAAATTTTATCATAGATGTTGTTGCCTCGAGTCAGTCCACACTCCACCCGGAAATTCCGAGAGTGGATGAGCTTACGTTCGGAATTCTTAGTACTTGAGGAATCCATCATAAATTTCTTTGTTAGGGAAGATAACCGACGTTTTAATAATTTAATATACAGGATGCCCCGTCAAGCCGAAACCAGGTGATAGGAAAAGTCATAACAGCTATTAGAAAAACATTTAAAAAAATTTTATTTATGTGTTTTGAAAATTATAGGTCTTTGAAAAAGATATAGAAATTTCACACCCTACGGCAGTCTGTCAACTCCAGTTTCTATAAATATTAACTTTTTTTGGATTTTATTTTTACAATGTAATGATGAACAATGCATCCTCAAACTGGTGTCTCAACCTTACTGCCAACTTTTCTCGTTCAAGAAAAATTGCCACTTATTTCCCAACCAAGTATTCCAAGTAAAACTTTGCGCAACTTTAACTGGCTGTACTGGAAAAAAATGTACTACGAGAGTTTGGCAAGTAACCTTAAAAGTTGGCGCACTCTCAGTGAGAGAGTATCTCGATCAAAACTTTCCAGGCAGATGGGTAAGGCGGTCTGGTACAATACCGTGGCCAGCCCGATCACCTGATTTGAATCCTTTAGATTTTTTTACTGGGGAACTGTAAAAAAAAAGTGTATTTCAAGCCGATTCAAAATGTAGCTGAGCTACGGCAAAGACTATTGGGAGCAGCTGAGTTTGTTAATAACCGTGGATTCGCTCGTTTAATAACCCGATCTTTTTTAAGAAGATGTCGAGCGTGTATTGCGGCTGAAGGAAAACAGTTTGAGCATTTGCTGTAAAGGTAAATCATCATCAGCAGCATTTTGACGCCCACTGTTGTGCAAACAGTTATTCTTAAGGGTCCTTGTGCGTTTTCACAATCGCTGTTTAATTAGGAAATTTTGAAAAATTTTCATCAGTTTTTCTTCAAATAAAAATTGTGCATAAGTTAACTTGTAATCTTCTAAGTGTTATACCATTTTGGAATCCTTATTAAATGTACCAACTTTTAAGGTTACTTGCCAAACTCTCGTAGTACATTTTTTCCAGTTAAAGTTGAGCAAAGTTTTACTTTGGAATACTTGGTTGGGAAATAAGTGGCAATTTTTCCTGAACGAGAAAAGTTGGCAGTAAGGTTGAGACACCAGTTTGAAGATGCATTATTCATCATTACATTGTAAAAATAAAATCCAAAAAAGTTAATATTTGTAGTAACAGGAGTTGACAGACTGCCGTAGGGTGTGAAATTTCTATATTTTTTTCAAAGACCTATAATTTTCAAAACACATACATAACATTTTTTTAAATATTTTTCTGATAGCTGTTATGACTTTGCCTATCACCCGGTTTCGGCTTGACGTCGACTTCTGGGACACCCTGTATATAATAATAATAGTCGTCCATAAAAAGAAACTGGTAACAAGTTCCATCAATTCATTCGTTGACGCAGCTCAGCAAATACTAAACGTGTAGCATTCACATATCTATCTATATTTAGATTGCAATTTTTTACGATGGATTGCATTTTTCAAATTTGCAGGAGAAGCACGTGAAAGAAAAACAAATCGTCCACTTGAAATCTTACATTGCCCTCCAAGAAAAGCTGAAAGTCAACCAATGCAATTTGATGAACGTCAAAGAACGGATGAAAGAGATCAACGCTAGAGTTAAAGAGCTCCAGGATCTGGATAAGAGGGATATTCAGCACGAATTCGCTCTCAGAAGTGGGATCAAAGATCTAAAAACCTTAGGTGATGAGTGGGATCAGCTCCAGGAGCAAGCTAAGGAGATTGAGGGGAAGCTGGAGGAGTTGGATAATACTAAACCAAGGTAAATTGCTACCCTAATGCATGAGTTAGTATATTGGCAGTAGATGCAGTGTTGCCAGAGCGAAGTTTAAAATATCCGTCACACGTATCGCAAAATTTCGCTACATGCCGCTACGGTCTAAAAATTTAAGGGGGGTGGGAGGCTTAAAATAAACAACAAATATATTTTTTACATATTTACTTTTTTTTAAACACTGTGTCTAAAAACCCTACTAAAAATACAAACAGTAACATAATATAATTGCAATTTTTCGTAAAAACATAAAAAGTATACCTCTAAAAAAGCAAAACTGTCTTTGGTTTAGAATTAGGAACTAATAAAAAAATGGAAACTATCACCAATATCTTAATCTTACTAGAAAAAAAAAAAACAAAAAATAAGGACAAAGAAGAAGCGGAAACGTGGAAATGCCTACGTTTGCTTATTTTATTCACAGTCAGAATCAGAAATTACTTCTTCTTCAGCTTGTTCTTCCTTATTTACATTATATAAATTCTTTTTATATTTGTTTAAATGATTCTCATTAAAACCATAGGATAAAAAGCACTGTTTTTTGATTCCAAGTCTAATTTAATTGTAAGTAGTGCAGACAAAGTTGATGGTATTATTTTATTTCTTTTTTTTGTTTTGTAATCAAGCATATAAGAAAAAGTTCGCTCAACATCAGCGTTTCCATGAGGCAATGTTAAAATGATTAGAGCCAGTTTACCTATATTGCGAAATAAATATTCGTCATTAAAATTTTTGAGGTCGTTTACAAACGACCAACATTCAATGACATTACTTTTTGTTTTTAAAATTTCCTCTTTCTCACTATCACTAAAATAAATACATATTTTCTTTAGTTCCAAAATTGCCTTTTCGGTTTCAATATAAAGGGCAAATTTTTTTAAAACGGCGTCATGAAAGGTATCACTTATAATAAGACGATTGTTCATCACATCAACCGGTGAGAGAAACTTTAGCTCTGAAAAGAAGTTGTCTTTGATAGGAAATCTTTTAAGGGACTCTTCTACCGATTTTTGGTAAAATGTGACACATTTTAATTTAAATTGTTCGATTGCCGTGTTATTGCAGTGTTTTATTGCATCCATTGTATGCGGACCAACATTCACTTGTTCAATTGGTAATAAGCAGTGGGGATCATTAGGATTTAGATTATATAATTTCTCATTTTTAAAATATTCTGGTCTCATAAAGTTTGTACATAGATGACGTACAAATCGGTCACTCTCTATTGATATGATATTGAGCATAACTTTCTCTGATTGAAAGAGAGCATTAAATTGGTTAAAAATGGGCAACACGAATTTAAAAAACATTAAATACGCCTTTAACAAATAGATTCTGTAACTTATTAAGTATTACATTTGCTACCGGATTTTTGTCTTCAATGGAAGCTAATCTAAATAGGCTAAGCAAGATGTCCCACTGATCTAAAACTCTATCAACACATTTGGATCAAGCAAGCCACCTTGTTTTACTAGGGCTTAAAATTTTTAATTTTGACTTTTTGAAATATTCCTGTAATTCTTCAAGAACACACTGCCTTTTTGGGCTTCTTGAGAAGTAAGAATATAAGTTTTGTAAAAGAGCTTCAACGTTGCTTGGAATCTTTTCAGCTGCCGCCACCGCCACTAAATGAACAGAGTGGTAAATGCAGCCATTGACAATTATATTAGGATTATCTTTTAAAAGATAAGTTTTGAAAGATTCTTTATTGCTCATCATAACGCTAGCGTTTTCGGAACAGTATCCAACAATATTGGTAATTTTTACTTGATTGGATATAACGCATTTTTTAAAAAGAGAATATAAACCTTTGGCGGTACCTTCATCTGCGTTTATTTTAATTATATCTAATAAATGGGTTTTAATTGAATTTTTATGAATATACCTTACAAGAATGCATAGTAGTCTTGTATTGCTCAGGTCTGTACTCTCATCCAATAAAATAGAAAATGGTTTATTTTCCAATTCTGAAATTATTTCGTCTTTAATAACAGGAGCCAGCAAATTTTTAATTATACTTATGCATTTGGATCTTTTTAATTTAAGTGAGCTAGAGAGATCTGGGTCTTTAAAACATAATTGACTAACTCCTGTTATATGATCAACAGTTCTAAAACTTATATAAGGACTTACAACTAAAAGACTATATCTTAAGCAAGCAAATATTTGCCGTTTTTCCAACTCACGTGCTTCCCGAGACTGAAAAGTGCTATCTAACGTTCTTACATTCGAAATTGCTTTTACATTAGTGGCATGCCTTTTTGATTTCGAATGATTCACTAAATCTGATTTTTTAGCACCCATTATTTGATTACAAGCTTTACTGGCTCTTGGTTATCCTGAGATTCGCAAGTCGAATTATCAGGCTCAGACCTGATTCCACTAGATTCCGCTCTTCTATTTTGTCTGTATTCAGGTTCGGGATGCTCCGAGTCCGACACAGATGCAGTCGAAGTGGATGGTACGGCCACGTTTGGTCTCACCGTTTGTTTTTTAGAAGGATTTTTATCAAAAAAATCGTTAATGGTCTGCTGTCGCCTTTCCATTATTCCTATTTTCCAGAAGAAAAAACGTTAAAAACAAATTTCGCGACTAAGATTTCTGGATCAAACTATAATATGTTAGATATTTAAGCAGTTTTGTTACTTACCAGTAGATTTAATATTAAAATCTGTAGCAAATGATATATCAATAAAATGATCAACACAAAAATAAGAACACTAATATAAACGAAACTAAACAGTATATACCCAGAGCTGAAAAATACAATACAAAGCGAGAAACCTAATATTATCTCTGCCTGCTGAGATCTGTTAGAAACGATTAGTATTGAAAGCAGTACGTACGCCATCTGTTATTGAGAAAAAAGGCAAGTGGAATAATTCTCTTCTCTGTTCCTAGATGGCTCAAGCGGCACCAAATGCACCAATTTTATTATTAATGTGATAATAAATCAGACTCTAGCCACTGCCTATTTAGGATTTAGAACGTTATTAACGTTAAAACAGTGAAATAAATATGATAGTTTTGTATGTAATAAATTCCGCTACATTTTGGGCTAATTTGCTCTACCGCCGCTACGCCACTCTTTTCAAAATAATCCGCTACAAATAGCGGAATTCCGCTACGTATGGCAATACTGAGTACCATAAGTAATGCTAAATAATTTAACAGTCGATTCCTTTTAAAGGAAGATTGTGATTAGGTTAAATTTTCGTAGTCCGAAAGTCAAAGGCAACATGGTGATAACTTATTGTCAGTTTTTTTTTTGAATTTTGCCCATAAATTTAGCATTTATTCTTCGTTTTTAACGAAATTTGGCATATGTAGGTTTTTTATATGGCAAATCTAAAAATTGATTTTTAAACATTCAGCTTCAATTGGTTTATATTTGGATATGCTTCAATATTTGCAAGATCACGGCTTAGAATATCATCCGCGTGATCCAGGTTTTTGCAGGCAGAGTACAGCAACACGTCATCAGCAAACAAATTTATGGAGCTAGTTGTCTGAAGAAGTTCTATATCATTTATATATATTATAAAGAACAACGGTCCGAGAACACTTCCCTGAGGAACTCCGAGGTCTTCGCAAATGTGGTTAGAGATAGAAGAACCAATCTTAATCCTCTGGCTTGTGTCACTTTAACTATGCTAATAATAAACGGGAAGCTATAAGTAATGGTAAATAATTTAACAGCAGATTCCTTTAAAAGAAAGATTGAAATGAAGTTAAATTTTCTTAGTTCGAAAGTCAAAGGCAACAAAGATACAGGGTAATAAACTTATTGCAGGTTTTTTTGAGTGTTGCCCATAAATATAGGATATATTCTTCGTTTTCAACGAAATTTGGAACACTTTTACTTTTACGTTTGATGTAAAAATTTATACTGGACACGCTCTAAATCATCTTTATAGCACTGGTACTGAGAGGACCACACTACTGTGGCATATTCTAAATTTTATCTTACCAAGGAGCAATATAAAATTCGGAAGGTATTGATTGAAAAACACTTACAGTTTGTCCAAACAAAGCCCAGTGTATGCCCTTTATACTAACTTTGAGAACATAGTCTGAAAAGTTAAGCCTTTCATCAAAAAGTACTCCAAGATCCGTAGCGGTAGCCTTATAAGAGAGAGTATCACTATTTAATCTATATCCAGTTGAAATTCTACTCCTACTTTTGAAAAAGTATTTATTCGAGTTCAGATACAAGTGATTAAGCTGTGTCTACTGCCACAGCGCATAAGGTCCCGCTGAAGGTCCACCATGTCATCTTTTTCCGATATTGTCGTGTACCTTTTCAGGTCATCAACAAACGTAGTTCCTTTGGAATGAATAAGAACATCAGGGATGTCATTCACAAACAAAATGAAGAGAAGAGGAGCATAATGGGACCCCTGAGGAACCCCTGATGTAACCTTGAATTTCAAAGACAGATGTCCACTAATTTTTATAGATTGAGTCCTATCCTTAAGGAAGCTCTCCAACCATCTTATAGTGTTTTCTGAAAAACCATAAATTGACAGCTTTGCCAATAAAATGTTCACTCTGTCGAAAGCCTTGGAAAAGTCTGTGTAGATTGCATACACCTGGTGACCCTTTTCCAGGGCCTCCAACAGATCAACTTTAAGACACCAAATTCTCCACAGTTGATCTATCTTTAGTAAACCCAAATTGACAACTACTTACAAGCCCACGGCAATACCAATTAAGTTAATCATATAATTGATGACCTCTGTAATTGCTAATATCTTCAACAACTCCTGACTTCAAAATTGGCTTAATATGTATAATTGTGCTTCCAAGTGTCAGGAAAAACACATGTTTGGATGGACATGTTAAAAATAAGATGCACGGGTAAAGATACATTCTTTGAGAAAAACCTCTGGAATTTGGTCAGGACCAGAGCTGAACTTCACTGGGTGACTTACGATTTTATTAAATACTTCCTCAAGAGAAATTTTGTTTAGTAGTATATCTCCTGTCTTCTCAAACAAAAAAGAGGGTACAGGATGTACAGAACTATCATATACACCACTAAAGTGCTTTGCAAACAAATTACTTATTGTCTTCCCATCTTGCACTCTAACTCCCTCTAAGTGCATACTATTAGGTAAGCTACTTGAATTTCTTAAACTCTTCACGTATCCCCAAAAGCGCCGTGGATCGGCTACCAAAGATTCCTGAACTCGATCAATATGAATTGCTTGACATCGCTTATGTTCTTCTTTACATAAACAGCGTAACTCTGAGAAAGTCACATAGTACTCATATTGGTTTGTTTCTATAAAAATCTCTTTCGACAGACTAGATCTTTAAGCTCAGGGCTGAACCATTTAGGGTAATTTTATCCGCTTTTGAGACACAAACCAATCCAAGCAATTTTGTAAGACCCCATAAAATCTTTCAACTGCCACGTTCACATCTACATCACCAAATAATGCATTCCAGTCACATGATGCTAAATAATCATTAATTGCAGTAAAATTAGCATTTGTAAAATCGTAAAAGGGCTCATCAAAATCATATTGACTGCACTTTGCTGCAATTGTAAAGTCACAGGCTCTGTGGTGTACACTCTCTGGCAGTAAAATATCATAAGCTGGTAACACATTAATATAAAACGAACTAGAAAACAATAAATCTAAGAACACATTATTGAGTTGTAACATTGAGATAGGAGAATGTTTCTGCCAATTTTCGTGCCGGTGAATTCTCAGGGCAATGGACAAAAGTATCATCATCATTATTTCAAGTTGCCTCCGGAAGATCATATTCACCAAAGATGGCCACATCATTAAAACAATTAAACTCTTTCTTTCCCTTAGCAACAAATAACTACACAGGTATAACAGTAAATACGGTTCGCCCGAGATATATGTGTTGATAAAAAGAATTCGGAAAAAATTCGGGTTGTTATTTGGTTGTTGCCACGTCTAATCTTTCGAATTGCTGTTTATGTTGGTAGTTTCTCGATACTCCTTGTCATTTAAAATTTTAAGACAATGACCCTGGGGGCCTAGGGTAAAAAGGGGTGAAGTAGTTTTTGGTTAAAAAGTTGTCCCCTTTTGATGTATTTCGGCGGGTTTTCTTTTAATCACTGGTTTTCGATAAATCGGTGGTGAGAAGTTTTCAAATGAAATATATGAAAAGTGCATCGATGATCTAATTTTTTCTATTTGCAAATTTCGATCCATCAGAATAATTCTAAATAGGAATTTGTAGATTTTCGGAAATCAAGTAATCGGTTTTCACGTTTTTTTTGTGTTCTATGTAACTTTGACAAAAAGACAAACGTTACAAACCACTGTTTTTTCAGTGACGTGTACCTGTCATCCAAGGATCGCCAGATCTTGGATTGGCATTTCGCGAATCTGGAATTTGCCAACGCAACGCCGCTGTCCAACCTTTCGTTGAAGCATTGGGACCAGGACGATGACTTCGAGTTCACCGGGAATCATTTAACAGGTACGTAAAACATTACCTGCATTTTATTTATTTAAACGCTTTCAAACCCATTTGAATGTAGTTACATGTAGGAGTGCTTACTGGGTAGTAGAGAAACAGAGAATACACAAAAACTTATAATTAAAAAATAACGACAAAGACAAACTATAAAAATTAACAAACAAATAAAATGAGATAAGGATGTTTTACTTAAATTTAAAATCAGTCTTAATTTGTCTCACAGTAGTCGAAAGGAGATCCACATCACAGTTTTGTATATAACTATTACACTCATACATCATTCCATTGATAGAAGAACAACTTAGCAGGATCCGATATCCCTGTTTAGAGAAGCTAAACTGTGACACACTGTATACCCATATAATCATAATTTAATGTTTTTCTAAATTAATTTGCACGCCTATGTTCCTTTACTATTAACCTTCATCTTCAATCAAATAACAAACAAAATCTTGTTGTTGTAGTTTGATGGAAGTGATCTAACGGAATAAGATCATTTCTATGCCGAAAAATTGGACAATTTATAAAACCTAATATTGCGTAACTTATATGACTTTCGATCATAGCATGATATAAAATTTTCATTGTTTTTTATCCAAATATTTGTTTAGATACTTGAATTTAAACAATAATGGTCTCAAAATGGTTATTACAAGATCAATATGTATATTCTATATATTATATATATTTTACTGATATCTTCAAATGAAAAACATTCTAACATCCCTACCGTTAATAACAACCAGAAAAATTACAAATTTTTTGTCGACAATTCAAAACTAATATCAAATGTCAAACAAGAATCCTGGGAACAATTATACTCTATAAATAATATAGACAGAGCAATGGGACTGTTCATAGAGAAAATAAAAAAACTAATAGATATTAGTACCAATAAAGTAATAATTAGTCACAAAGAGAAAAGCAGAAATGCCTGGATTACCAAAGGATTAATAACATCGGCAATAGAAAAAGAAAGACTATATAATGTAATGAAACTAACGCCAACTACAGAGAATACCGACAGCTACAACCAATATAAAAATAAATTTATAGAGCTTGTAAGGCAAACCAAACGAAAATATTACCTAAATAAATTGAATAATAACTTAAATGATCCTAAGCGGCTTTGGACAACTATTGATGAGATTACTGGGAGAACAAAAGTTAAAGAGTGCGTCACTGAGTTAAATTCAACATCGGGAACAGTATTAAAAAATACTCAACAGATATGCGATGAATTTGTACAATTCTTTACTGACATAGGCGAAAATTTAGCAAGTAATATACAGGCAAATGTACAAAATACTCAGCCTCCAAAAAGAACTTTGAACTCATTTATTTTGGATAATGTCGAGCATTGTGAAGTATACACCATTGTTATATCCTTAAAAAATCGGAAAAGTCCTGGGTTCGATGGTATTAAAAGCGAGCATTTGAAAATTATAGCCGAGGACATAACAGAACCACTCACTTACCTAATCAACAAATGCTTTGAATCTGGCATATATCCCTCAATTTTAAAAAAAGGTAATATAATACCGATACATAAATCAGGAACAAAAACAGATGTTAACAACTATAGACCAATATCAATAATATCCAGTGTAGCAAAGGTTTTTGAAAAAGTTTTATCTACTAGAATGATTCGATACCTCACAAAATTCAAAATTTTAAGTGAAAGTCAATATGGATTTACAGAAGGGAAGGCTACATCGGACGCAATAACTAAAATTGTAAATCAAATACATCAAAATATTGATAATAGAATCTCTTCAATCTGCATTTTTGTTGATTTAAAGAAAGCTTTCGATACAGTTAATCACAAATTATTATTAGAAGCATTGGAGAGAATTGGTTTCAGAGGAAACGCGTACTCACTGATCGAAAGTTATTTGTCAAATCGCCCACAATCTTTGCAGATATCAGGATCATTTAGTAAAGAAATGTATATTAAGTGTGGTGTCCCACAAGGAACTGTCTTAGGTCCGCTGTTATTCAATATATATTTAAATGATATTTTCCAAATTAATTGTGTTGGCAAAATAACTAGTTTTGCAGATGATACTGCAATATTATATGAAGGCACTGACTGGTCTGATCTGAAAAATGTAATTGAAAATGATTTTATCAAAATTATTCAGTGGTTTAACAGTAGAAAATTAATCATTAACTACTCTAAAACACATTTTTTACCATTTGGATCTTATGCTAGACATCTGCCAAATTACACAAATTTCTCCTTCAATATTAATGATCAAAAAATGCAAATTAATAGAGTGCCCAACATAAAATACCTTGGAGTGGTCTTGGATCCTCACTTACGATGGGACATCCATGTCAATTATATTTTAAAGAAAGTTAGATTTGTATCCTACAAAATTAAATACCTTGGGAATATATTGACAGAAAAATATCTTCGAACATTATACCATGCACTGATTGAGCCTCATCTCACATATGGTATATTAGCATGGGGAGCTGCATGTTCCTCACATATCTATAATTTAGATGTTTTTCAAAAAAGTATTCTAAAAATGATATTTAAAAAACCGAAATTTTATCCCACTGAAAAATTATACGCAGATGTTCGAATGTATGATATAAGACAGCTTTATTTCTTACACAGTATCACTCACTACCATAAATTTGTAAACACCGACCAAAAAATTAAACATAATCATTATACCAGGTACAAAATTCGTGGCACAGTAGTTCCTCAACCGCATAAATCTGTAATGCAGCGATCATATCTCTATTTAGCGCCTAAATTTTATGAAATTATACCTAAAGACTTAAAAGATTTACGTTTCGGAAATTGTTTCAAAAGAAATTTAAAAACGTGGCTACATTCTATATCTAGAACTGAAATTCATAAACTCATAAATACAAACATCAACTAAATACATAATCTACTGTAGCTAATTTTTTGTCCTTTTTTGTCATTTGCATTCTACAGTTTCAACTTAAATTATTGGTCCATGTACAGGCGATGCCTTCTATTGGGCCTGTTTTGATTTTATATTTATTTACTCATATTGTTTGTTATCTTTGTACATTGAGTGAATAAATATAAAAAATATTAAAAAAAATATTCCACTTTAAATGTGAGTCTAAATATACACCTAAATATTTTATTTTGTTTATTAAATTTATTTGAGTATTTATATTATCACAGTTAATCTGTATAGATATAAAGGTAATTTGTTTCTGTGATTTGTGAATGGTATGAACCTAGTCTTTTGAAAGTTAGTGGTGATTTATGCGCAGCCGCCCTTCGAAATAGAATCCGAATATTGAGTAATATACAGGGTGTCCAATTTAAAATAAGCAACTTAGCATCAACTTCCGGTATAGCCGGAAGTGCCACATCTTGTAAATATTTTAGCTGCCATTTCCCCATCGGCATAAGTACAAGTACTCGCAAATTTTCAAAACATCATACGCCTAATTTTAGAGAAATCTATCGATGGAGTTCCCGATGCGACACCGTGCATTTACTGTGGTCAATAAATGGTAAGGTAAATGGTTATGGTATGGAAGAAACAATAAGAGAGACATCGCAGAAAAAATAAGAAACACGTGCGTTGTCCTTGATATTGCTTCTTCATGTTTTTTGAATTTAATTTTGAGTATTTCACAGTGATATTGACCGCTTTGTGTATTAGTGTTATTTCGCTAGCCTTCACTCATAAGACTGCTACTTTCTGCACGCAGATGCGTGTTGAAAGTGAGTACCACTCGTGGAAAGTGTATTTTCCGCCCTTGACGGCTGATCACTTTCCGCACTTGTTAGGTAAATAACTATTTCAGATTATATTCACTTTTATTGTGATCAAACAGCTTTTCGTACGCCATAGATAATGTATGTTTGCAAATAGGAAACCGGCGGTATACGTATGATTCTTTACAAATTTTTTAGATATTTTGATAAAATTCCAGAAACACTGTCAGATCATATCAGAGAGTTTTTGATTTTTAGATTTGAATTATTAAACAAAAATAATGAAACATATCCGAAATATTCTGAATTATTCTGAATTATCTGAGCTATCTCTAAATAGATGGAACCACAAACTACGATGAATACATGAGCTTAATACCTCAAAAATTACAATACGAAGAAATTTTTCGTTCCTTCGTTCACTTTCTATTGAATCTGAAAAAAAAAGCTTTCTCATCCTTTATTGTTGAGTAAAAAGTTTTCTCACAAAACTCGGTGTAACTAATTTAAGCTTCTATGTTTTAAATATCCCCTTGAACAACTTGCACCAATAAAACCAAACTTTACAATGATTCCTCAAACCAGGGGCATTTTCCAATATGATTAGTTTAGAATCATGATTGACGTGCCTCTTCCTCCGCCAATGGCCTCCCCGAACCACCCTTTTCCGTTCGCTCCATCAAAATCGGCCATGGCCTTGCCAGCCATCAGGTGCCGGACCAAACCAAACCATCTTAGTACCGCCACCGGAGATTGAAACCTCTTTCCGAAATTACTAAATTATCACTCGGCCATTCCGGTTGTCAACATATTATTATCGGTCGCCCAGCCACCGGTCATTATCCGGCATTTCTGACTTATTTATTAGATAATAATCCCGTGAATACAAGATGAACGATGCGCCGGTGGAGGAGCGCCGCGAATGTTAGGGCTGACTGGGACAAGGGGTTAGTAGGCCTGGTAAGATTCCATAATTGAAAAGTGACACTTTCTCGGTTTTTTGACATTTTATAGCTTTTTTGTGACATAACGTAGGTTTTTCTACAAGATGTCAACTTAGCACTGGATGTTGTACACTTGTTGTGAACTCGTCTTGTAGCTGTACGTGTTGCCTAAACGTCACGATGCTTCAGCATTGAATGTTTGCTGTATACTACAGTATATTCAGATAAGAGATAGACCGGATGTAAACAAAAGGTTCGGGTGATTTTCACGCTAACGCCGCCGTCTCGACGTAAAACAGGAGCCCTCATTGGTCAATTCGCAATTAAATGCCTATGCCGAGCGGCAGAGCAGTC